AGATTGTGAAAAAACTGGAAGACGAGAGGGACGGGGAATGGGCGGCCAAAAAGGACAGGGGTGACGGAAAGAGGAAAAAACCCAAGCTGACGGTGACGGCCGTCTACGAAGCCATTAAAAAGTCGAATTCAAGCCTCAGCCGGCAAAAGAGACGCCCGCTGGAGGACGCAATAGAGCGCGTGCTGGAATTCCGCAAGGAGGAAGAGGCCGAGTCCGAGGATAGCGACGACCTCTTAGAGCAGGCCGAAATGGTGAACAAGGCGAGTACTCATCGATCAACTCACCCGTCACATCTCTAACCCACACCCTGCAGGAGGAAGATCGCTTTTTGCTCAACCGGCAAATGACAAAGCACTGGAACGTCACGCCCGCGGTGCCGACGGCCCAGGGGTCCGAGGGCAAGAGCACTAAGAAGCGCCGCATCTCGCCGGAGCCCGAGGCCGCCAACGGTGCCGGCCATGTCAGCGACGGCTCCGCCATAGCCTCCAGGTCCAAGTCTAAGCACGGCGACGCTGCGGAGGCCCAGACGGTCGCCACAAAGAAGGCGGCCAAGCCAAGTAAGTACAGCCCGGAGCAAATCCCGCCCGGCTCGGTCGTCCTCGGCGGCGTGCGCGGCATCATCGAAGAGCTGCAGCGCTACGTCTTCGCGCGAACGCGGAAGCCCGAGGATTTTGTCTGCTTCGGCGAGCAGCCCATGGGCATCCTGATCTCAGGGCCCCCGGGCACCGGCAAGCAGTCGCTTGTGCGATCGCTGTCCTGGAGGACGAGGACGCCCGTCATTTCCATCGGGCGGTATCTGGCCGAGACGCGGTCGCCCGAGAAGGTCAGCAAGATATTTGCCGACGTGCTGGACGAGGCGAAGAAGGTCGCGCCGTGCGTGGTCCTCTTTGACCACCTCGACGAGTACATGACCAAGTCAGGCAACAGCCACAGCGAGTTCGACCACGAGGTCGTCTCGCAGCTGAAGCTGGGGCTCCGACGTCTGCGGGAGTGGGAGCGGGAGGGCTCGCGAGTGGTGATTGTGGGCACAACGAGCAGGCTCGAGCTGGTCGACCCGACGCTGCGACGGCCCGACTTCTTCGCGCAGACCATCACCGTCAAGGTGCCCAACACGGACGCTCGCGAGGAGATCTTCCGGGCCCTGACGCGGGACCTTGACATCCCGCCCGAGGTCGACTTCAAGTCCCTAGCGGTGCGCACGCACGGCTTCGTCGGAGACGACATTCGAGCCGTCATCCAGGTCGCCAACCGCAAGGCCAGTGACCGCTTCATGGACGTCGAGCAGGCGCGCGCGCGGAACACCATCCTCCCGGAACGGATGGAAACCTCCGAGGCCCCTTGGGACCGCGACCTCGAGGACGCATGCCTGTGGTACGACTTCATCGAGCACCCGGCTTACACCGAGCCCGCCCGCGTCCGCGTCGGCCAGCAAGACTTTGTCGACGCCATCGCCGAGCACACGCCCTACATGCGCCGCGAGGGCTTCAGCTCGATACCCAGCACATCGTGGTCTGAGGTCGGCGCGCTGCACTCGGTCCGCGCTGCGTTCCAGGTCTCCATCGTTCGACGCATCAAGGAGCCGCTGCTGTTCCAGAAGTTTGGCAAGCAGCGCCCAGCCGGCGTGCTGCTTTTCGGTCCGCCCGGGTGTGGAAAGACGCTCGTCGCAAAGGCCGTCGCCAACGACGCGCAAGCCAGCTTCATCCTCATCAAGGGCCCCGAACTGCTCAACAAGTACGTGGGCGAGTCGGAGCGCGCCATCCGCGAGCTCTTCACCAGGGCCAAGTCGTGCGCGCCCTGCATTCTCTTCTTTGACGAGATGGACTCGCTAGTGCCCAAGCGGGAGAACACCACGACCGAGGCCGGCGCCCGCGTCGTGAACGCGCTGCTCGCCGAACTCGACGGCGCCGGCGACAGGGGCGAGGTGTACGTCATCGGCACCAGTAACAGGCCCGACATGATTGACCCGGCCATCCTGCGTCCCGGTCGGCTGGACAAGCTGCTCTTCGTCGACCTGCCCACGGAGGACGAGCGCGTCGACATCCTGCGCACCATCGTGCGCAACGGCATCGGCGGGGCCGAAGGCAGCGGTGCGGTCGACATCGAGGCCATCGCGAGAGACAAGCGGTGCGCCGGGTTCAGCGGTGCGGACCTCTACGGTCTATACAAAAACGCGCTGGACGAGTGCGTGTTGCGCTACGAGGGGGGCGAGCCGGCCTTGACGCGGGAGGATTGGGAGACCGCCTTGAGCAAGACGAGGCCCAGCGTGCCGAACCCGGAGACGTATCGACGGTTGGCTGCCAAGCTGCACCACCAAACATGATTTAGACTATAGACTGGTAGAGAAAAGTACACTTTGTCCGTTCTGTTCCTCCGATTGTGTTCCCTGCTAGGCGCCATCTGCGTGGCATGGTGTTTCGTGCTCACAGGCAGTGGGCAAATGCTCCATGAAATAGCAGCCGGCGACGGTCCTTCAAACAGGCTGGCGCTCTTGAGGATTTCACTTTAACAGATAATACGAGTCTTGGCAGACTGAAGACTTTTACACGCAGGAACTAATCGATCAACAGGGGAAATTAGGGCAGTAGGCAGGCAGGAGGGCATCATACAAGCATGATGATGTTCCATTGATTTCCCAACTTCCGTCATAAACGTCAGCCTCCCCCATATCAAGTGTCTAGGCGCTACATATTTGTTCGGCGTCTGACAGATTTCCCAAACATTGCATGATTGTGAATGATTCGTGGGCACTGCCGCGCTCTCGCCATCGTTGTAATGCCGCCGCCGCCGTCGCTCATGACGATCGAAAGTAGGGAATTGGAGAACATGCGCAGCGCTGCGACACCTCGGTGATTGGGTCGAGAGTCATTGACCACTGAGAGTGGAGAAGTGACAGTCACGGCGCGAGTCGGGCATGCAGCAAAGGCATACTTTTGAGACTTTCCCGGCGTCAACTCAAGCCGCAGATTGCCGCACACACTCATGACCCGGCCTCTATCAGTGCTGGCTCCAAGCCTCGCTGATCGGCCAAGTCTCGTTCTGTAACCATCGACACACGCTCCCTTGGAGGCCACAGGACTAAGCGATGACGGTGTTCCACCTTACCACCGCAGGGTACCGACGTTGGACGGGTCATCTGACTGGCTACTGGGTGCCACACTAGTCGCTTGTGAGTAAGCGACTTGTCCGGCCTCAGGAGCGCGCCGGTTGACATCATTGGTACGATGGGGGAGTTCGGCGCAGCGGTTTTGGCTCGTGAAAGAAGAATAATGTGTTGTATTATAACATCTGAAAGGGGAGAATTTTCAAGAGGCACAAGGGCGTTGTAAGCCCCAAACACACTGTTCTAATGTGGTCTATTGGTACAATTCGTCGCAAATCGCCAGTCCGTCTAATGCAATCCTATCGTAACACGTCAATCCGTCTATTTAGTGGAATCCTTGAGGTAGCTAAGGCACAGTTAGCGAGCGGGTCCAGACAGCAGTGAGGCGTCGGGTCAACATACGCAATGAGGTCGTTGCGGTCCTTCTCCTTCTTGAGGCCACCGAAGGCCATCTTGGTGCCGGGGATGTACTTCTTGGGGTTCTCGAGGTACTCGAAGAGGGTCTGGTCGTTCCACTCGATGCCCTTCTTCTTGTTGGCGTCGGTGTAGGAGTAGCCTTCGACGGAGCCGGTCTTGCGGCCCCAGAGGCCGTGAAGGGCAGGGCCGATCTTGTTGCCGCCGTCCTTCTCAACGGTGTGGCACTGGGCGCAACGGGTCTTGAAGAGGTTGGCACCCTTCTTAGCGTCACCTAGGTCACGAGGTCAGTTAATGGTCTGGGGGAGCTGTTAGTCGCCGTGGTTGGGATCCCTGGATGCCGAGTGCCCATTAAGCGAGTCGCCTCTCGAGCGGTTCTTGTGGGATTGCTCTCCCCGACGCGTCGATGTCTCTGCTTCTAATCCGCCTCTGGTCTTTTCCCGGGTAGCAGACACGGAGGAAAATGGCGCACAGTGCTCGTTGGAGACGTGTAGAAGGACAGGACTTGACGACGAGAGCATCGCACGCCAACTTTTCGAAGCAGGGCTGACCGAAGAAGCGCGGATCGAGACGGGTTCAGTAGGGACTGTGTCACGGCTCAATGGGCCATAACCGGCTCAAGCACCCCGAGGGGAGGTTTCTCAGGATCCGCCAAACCACGACGGAAAGGATAGGAGATGCGCGCGCGAGGGCAACTTACCACCAGCCATCTTGACGGATTGAAGGGATATTATAAGGAGTTGAAAAGGGGTATCGGATGAAGGTTGCAAAAGAGAAATGTCTTTTGCAGGTCGTCGAGGTTGTAGATGAGTGAGAGTTGGTTGGAATGGAGAGGAAGGAAAGGGAAAAAAAAACTTTTAGGAACGGATCGGGCCAGGTAGAAAATAAAGACGAGACGACATGGACTGTACCTTGAGCGCCATCCGATTTTGGCTATGACAACACCCGACGGAAAGGTACCAAGGACCGCAAAAAGCCTCGAATGAGCTCACTGGCGGCGCACAAGCCACACGGTGTGGCGACGGCGCTGCCAATCAGATGTGCAGCAATGGTCAGACAGCGGCGCGCCTGGGGTCTTCCGTCCGGGCAAAACCGGATATCGTCACGGAATAATTGTATCTCCGCTGCCCCTCGGTATTTTTGGCTGGCCAACGACTTAACCAGCGGCGGGCCGGCGGGCCAGCAGGGTCAACGGTGTCCAACAAGTTTTTTTTTTTTCTCTTGTCGACTGGGCGGTGCCGGAATTTTGGGTGCTGCACTCCGCCGAGGTTATAAATGTTAGCTTGCTACAAGCCCCACTTACACGGATAGTATGAACAAGCACACTCTATTCCTAGGAAGCGTCTAGTTAGAGTAAGTACTTTTACATCTGTCGCGATGCCTTCACGGCACCGCGCAGCCTTGGGAATATTTACCGGGGTCGGAATATCTAATAGTCCGGTACAACTGGCCCGGTCCACTTGTAGATACGTATTTACGGCTCGGGCGGCAGTCTCACACGTAAATAGTCAAGCCGTTTTCCCATGACTTTTCCCACCCGAAAAGGCGCTGCGCGATAACATCCGAAATTCTGAATCAAGTTGATCTAGAGATATACCACTACAGAGAGGCCTTGAGAAATTCTTCTGGAGCTTCGATTTTTCCAGCCCCGACCGACCCTGCCGACTGCGCTCACCTGATGATCCCGTCGATCCAGGCTAAAGCATCAATGACGCCGTGAAACATAAGCCTGACTGAAAAGCCTAAACTGGTGCAGTCCTGGTGACCAACTCTTATTTAATTTTAGGCTTCATCCATCGGCAAACACCGGAAGATTTAGACCTAGCACTTGCCGCCACGCTCGCAGTGGCAACACGACATCAATGACGACCTCGGCCACGACCATCCTCCCCAGGTTCCTCCTCCCGGCCATGGGCCCCATGTGGCGCGCAGCAGCGACCTCCGCCGGCCGCCCGGCCGCCGCGACCCTCCGCCGGAACACCGCGTGGACGATTCGGTACGCCTCGTCCGCGTCCAAGCCGACCGGCGCGGGCCAGAAGGGACCCCTCATCCTCGAGAAGCCCGCCAAGTTCAACCCGCCCTCCCACGGCACCCGGCTGCCCAAGAAGAACGGCCCGAAGCACTACGGCGGCCCCCTCAGCGCGCAGGAGGTGCGGGCGCAACGGACGCGCGAATATCCCGGCATGATGGCCCCAGAGGGCACATGGGCACACTGGTTCTTGAACAACCGCAAAATCCATCTCTTCATCTCGCTGGTACGGCACTTCCCATGTTGCCAGTTACGCGTGTTCGGCGGTTCAGCTCACTGACGGCACTACAGGGAACTCTCACAACGCTGGCCATCGCGACGCTGACCCTCAACTTCACGCAAACCTCGCCCTTCAAGCACCTCCTCCCCCCGGCGTCCGACTTCTGGAGCAGCCCGATCGAGTTCGTCCGCACATGGGTCCACGTCCTGCGGCTGCACGAGCGCGACCGCAACGAGAAGGCCATCGCTATGCACTCGCGCCACACCGACGATGTCGCCAAGCGCCATTACTACCGCAAGGCCCACGGGCTCGACAAGGAGAACCCCATTGCCAACTTCCTTGGCATGAAGGAGGAGGCGGAGGAGGAGAAGGCGTCGGCCATCTCTGCCGCCGAGGCGTCGCCCGTGGCTGGGGACGCTGCCGCGATCGTGCCCGTGGAGGGAGATGGGGAGAAGAGCAACAAGAAGAAGTGGTTCGGCCTCTTTTGAACGTCGGCCGCGCGATATGAGCCGCCAACCATTTGTGCGATACGACCGGCTGAGGCCTTGTCCTGTAATATACCCTCAACAAAACCATGTACAATATGACTCCCAACCCAGGGCCACCAATTGGTATCATGCCTTTTTTTTCTTCCTATTTCCCCTTGCCATCCTGACGTGCCGCAAAGCGTGATCCGTATCCAGCCGCACCTAGGCCAAGTCCACCGCGGCAATCCCCTCGAGCACCTCGTCCGCAATGCCTCCTTTCTCTAGTACCTTGGAAATCATCCCCTCGAGCACGTGTAGCTTAGTGCCTCCTATAGGCGGCCTCCACACGCCCTCTGCCGCCTTGTCCTCGCCGGCCGGGGGGGCAGGCGGCGCCTTCGACGGCGTGCCGGCGAGGCCTGTGGCGGGGTTCGCCGAGTTGGGCACGCCGGGCGCCGTCAGTCGCGAGGGCGGGTCGACCGTCCGCACGGCGAGTAGCTTCAGTTGGCGTCCGTCCACGTCCATACCGCCAGCCGACGCCGCCGTCTTCTCCTCGGCCACCGAGACCGCAAGCGCCGACTCGGCCACGGCGAGCTCCTCGCGTGCTGGGTCGAAGATGATGTTGCCGCCGACGGCGATGACGAGCAGTGTGATGGGCGGCCGCGAGCCGGTCACGGGGGCGCTGCCGTCGCGCGGGTAGAGGAAAGTCGAGGCCTCCCAGTCGTCGTCAAACATGGGGTCCTCGTCGCCCTCGGACTTGAGGCGCGGCAGCCGGGTCGCCAGGAGCGCGAGGTGCGTCGTGAGGGAGAGGAGCGGGAGGGGGTACGACAGCGGCGGGGAGATGAGGAGGATCTGCAACGAATTAGCGGTGCCTCCTGCAGGGGATGGCGGGGGGGGGGGGGGGGGGGGGGGGGAAGGTACGTCTAGGTAGAGCTTCCAGTGGAACCGATTGTTAATCCGCAGCTTCTTGGTGAACTCCCCGTCGGCGAGCAGCGCCTCGCTGAGCATATTGGACAGGAACACAGTCGCCGCATCGTCGTCTCTGGAGCCGGGGATCTCGACCGTCATCTCGAGCCAGTCATTGCTGCCCCTGGTCTCGCCATCGCCGCCTTCCGTCCTCTTTTCCGTTGCCTCTCCGTCCGTCTCCGCGCCGAGCGGGACGCGAGTCTTTTCTATCTCTGCCTTGACGCCAACGATGGCCTCGGTGCCGTCGGAGAAGCACACGCGCGCACTGCCGTTGGTGCCCGGGAGGATACCCGTCTCTGCAGTGAGGGGGCGGAACTGGTTCGCCTTGCGGCCGTCTGGGCGGATGGGCGGCGTGAGGGAGAGCGAAGAGTGGAGGTAGGCGAGCTCTGCCGGGGAGAGCAGAACCTGCTGTGCCGACGCCATGGTGTGGTGTGGGTTCGCTCTTCCTGTGGTTTCTTACCGGACCTTTCCCCCTTATGTTTGCTCGGCTTTGACCTTTCCTTTGGCTTCGAATGGGCAGCGGTAGCTCGGTGGTTCGTCAATCGGTCGTGGTTCGTGGAGCTCGGATTTTCGGGGCGGGATGTCGTCGCAAAAAGTTGCTTGGATTGAATTTCGCCCGAGCCAAAAGGTCTACTAGCATGCAGGGGTTTTCTAATGGTGGGGTCCGCGGGGTGTGGGGCCGGTCGGCGCGAGCTGTCCGGATCGGTGCTGTGGCGGTGAACGTGGCTTGGACGACATAGCATTGCAAACACGACTGCTCTCTCGGGCGCTAGAAACAACTACATCAGGAATGGGAACCCGGAATTGGGGCTTGGAAACCATTGTTGCAAACTTCAGCACTGGAAAAGCGTTTGGCGGCATATCTTGGCGCTGGGGATGAACCAGAGGCAAATAGGCTGCGCGAGGCGTTAATCTGTGCGAGTTGGTGCGGTGTTTTCAATTCGAGAGAGCCACACACCTATTTGGAAAATTACATAACATCAGATCATCAAATGAACTCTGAATCATTGGCGATCGTTCTGGGATGGTTTGTGGTCTTGGACAAGAGAAGCAACCTGTTTTGGGCTGGCTTCCTGGGAGCACCATGGAGTTTAGTATTCACTATTGAACACTTTCAAGCCATTACTTGACAATTCGTCTGATAACCATCATTTTTTTTAGCTGGGCATTGAGTGAAATATCCCAGCTACTGTTCGACGCCCACCTTACAAAACGGGTAGCTGCCGTCCTCGTTGCGGCTGCACACTTCAGGTATCCACTCAAGTTGGAGTCTAACCATTTGATCCGGCAAACGTTGAGCCCTTTGAGTGTCTCGGGGTCTTGCTGTAAGCTAAAATTGAATATCGCCTCTTCTCAGTTCATGTTCAACGGCGTGGCTGCAGACCAGCCTTTTTTAAGAGCATTAGTACTTAAGTGCATTCGCCGGTCTTGCCTTCTAACATTGGAGGAAGCAAGACTAGACCTTTTCGTCTAGAGGTTGTTAGCCTAGCAATTATGTTACATCTCTGTCGTCACTCGAAGAACATGCCAAATCCCCGGAGAATCTAGATTCTGGCTGGAATGGCTAAGAAGCGTTCCGTGTTGCCTTGCCCTTGATCTCTCTGTCCGTGCAGTCTTTGATTGCGTGGTGGCCCGGACGGGGGAGGGATCGGGAGAGAAAATCAAGGCCATGAGCATCATCAGACGGTGTAGGAGCTGTGCTGCCGAGCCAATGCCACGAATGACAAATGCCGATGAGCGCGCATGGACTTGTATTTATATCGTCCTGGCGTTTGTGACTGGCAACAAGGACTGACGATCTAATCCGGAATACATATAGCGGGGAGATTGGTCGGATGTGGTCTTTCAGCTGCTCGAGGTGGTAGTTTGCCCTACTGCCACGGTGTCTCTCTCGCTCCATGTATGCCAAAAAACTCGAGATAGCCAATTGCCGGAACTACCATTTCCTCTCTCATGTTTAGCTTGCAATATCGGCACTGGCCTCGAAATTGTGTCTCCCTCGTCACTTCTGCTGCCATTCTTGTAGTAGAGGTGTCTTGTTTTGTTGTTAGCTTGGTTTTCTCCGTCGTGGATAACGTCTGAGCCTTGTGTAACCGCAAACAGCCAGTTGCAAGCTTCCATCATCTAGAAGATCCTATGCTAAAGCTCCTCAGAACACCGCGGTCCTCGTGATAGATAGATGAACACGCCCATATACCAATGCATCTCATGCACTTGGGATTTCGGGGAGGAGTGTCACGGCCACCGTAACCTGCTTAATATTGAGTTCAATGGCGGAACGCGACACGATAACCCTGTGGGATGCTGAGCTGAGAATCTGTGCTAGGTTTGATTAGCATAGTAGCAGAGAAACAGGCATGTCGGAAGCCGACTTCTAATCTTTAGCTGTGCGTCCACTCAACTGTTGTGTACTTTGGGCTCCCATGGGCTGACCAGCTTGGATCTACAGCATCAGACCGACTGCCGTGTGTTCTGAGTCTTCATCGTGTCAAATTTGCACCGCAGCCCAGTCATAACTAGTGCACTCATTTGTGGGACGACGTAAAGGCCGTTCGGTTAAGAAACGGCCACGGGCGATGAGTTTCACGGTATCATCTTTGACTAGTCCACAATAGAGAATACCGGATGAAACAAAAGACTGCAATGTGCTCAGTGAACGGTAACAACTAGGTAGCCTAACAAACCCCGACGACCGCACGAGTAAACTTCCTCCTCCTTGCTCCGTCTAGCCATGAATCGAGACAAGACGTCCACCAGGCGGTCACACCTGCCTCTCCCTGCTATACAACGTAGTTCACAAAACCCCTCCAACTTCTACGGCTACGTTACATCAAACCTTGGCGTAGTCGTCTTCATGGACTGGTGGCCTGAGCAGCCGCATTTCCCGCCCTTGCTGCCGGCTCTTGTACAACCCCATCACATTCCAAACCAGATGGAGGCACATTTCGCCACGAAGAAGCAAATGAGACGCGCGGAGAGCCCGGGCATCTCGATGTTCCATGACGCCCATATCCAGGTCCGCCTCGTGCCATCAAGCGATCCACAAGGACTCGAAATCGCGCGCCCTGGGATGGCCTCGCGATGCCCTGCAGAGTCGTGGGCGTATCCGAATCCGCAATCGATACAGTCTGTATACACCGACCCTACTGCCCTCCTCCTTCAGGTCCATCGGGAGGGTACCCCTTGCGTCCAGATCGACCCCAAGACCGGGGCGCATCCAAGCCAGTCACTGGCAAGATCCATCTGCAGACCACTTCCAAGTCGGGGGCATGCCCGATCCCAAATCGCCGTCAGGGTTTAACCGCACTTTGTGGGTGGAGCTCGGTGAGCATGCAGTGCGACGTGTCGAATAACCTTTCCATTATCCATGGGGCGTCGTCCACTCATCTGGCCCATGTAATGGCATGTTTCGCATGAAGTCTTCTCAAAGGGCTTTCCTGACATGGGCTTCATGAATCATGGGTACAGACAAACGACCAGTTCGGGAACCAGTCAGGCCCAAACCGGTTGTCGAACCATGCCAAGCAATCCGCAGCAGCCGTTTTCTTTTTGTTTCGTCACCGTGATGCTTCGATGTCTGCAGTCCCCACAGCCGGACAGGGGCGGTCCGCCCCGGTCAAGCTCGGGGAGACGTACAATGTCTCAAACCACTGCGGCACTGCTGGGCTGCACAACGAGCGGAATGGACTCTGCGTGGGTGGTCTGGCCTACAATCACGGGCCCTTGTGGACTGTTATCAACGGGCTGGGTCTGTGGAGACGCTTCCATGACGGACGATAGCTACTCGGAGAGCTAGCCGATCTGTCTGCAATCGAGATACCTAATCGCCCGCGACGCATGCTCCGATTCATTGCGATCAGATCTGCATGAAGAGACGATCTGGTCGATTGCTGGGTCAGCCCCTTCTTCTGATGCGCTGGATGCGCCGGACGCGCCAGATACGCAAATACGTTCATTCACCTCCGCCTGGACGACCTGCATCACAAGTCGTTCGATTGTGGACTCTACAACGCCGCGTCCGCATGGCTTCCCCTCGCATCGCGGAGATCACCATCGAACGACTATGATGCCAGAATAGCTGTCTGGGGCCAGTGTTGGGACGATTGTGCCCGCCGCCGACGAGACCTCGAGGGATGCTGCACGTGGGGTCTATGGCAGAACAAGATCGGATCGGCCAGTTTCGACCGGTCCTGTTGAGACACGTCAAAGACCGACCTTCGTCAGCGGCGGCGATGCTGCCCAAGGCTCGGTAGCGCTGACGATCTGCACCCGCCTCACGCACATGAATGGCAGGGGGGAGAAAGGGGAAGGGGAAAAAAAAACAAAGAGAAAAGGGAAACCTGCCTCTTGAATCGAGGGGGGGGGGTGCTCCCCCTCCCGATCTGGCAAGGCGCAGGCCGGCGATCGCTGCACTTGGGCCTCATTTAGTCTGACTCGGAACCAACATGGGGACGTGGCGTCCAAGACAACAAGTGCCTGGTCTTTGGCGTGTGATGGCCAACAGTCTCGCCGACGATTCGTTGACTCCAGCCTCCCCACGTCCAGACGGCCCACGACGCTCTTCAGCGGCCCGCCGCCTTGGCCCAACGAAGATCCGGCGCCCGCCGCGGCAATGAGGCAATCGCGCATCACTGCCGTACACGGCCAGAGCTCCGAAACTCTGTTCTGCGGGCGCGGTTAAGGGACAACCTGGAGGGTTCTGCCTGCGCTCTTTCGGCTGGCTTGGTTTTTTTTTTTGGGGGGGGGGGGGGGGGGGGGGGCGATCAGCGGGCCGCTCAGTCGCTCAATCACTCGCTGGGCGGCGGGCGGTGGGTTGCGTGTGTTGAAACCCGTGCAAGGAATGCCATCGGCGAAGCAGGTTTTTAGGTTCGTCGCGTGGGCGCCGGCGGATATGAGCGGCGCGGAGGGCTTGCCGTCTATGGCAAGATATGTCCGGCTCGCATGCCATGCGACGCCGCGGACGCCGCGAACGCCGCCGTCCCTGTCACAGGCTCGCGGCGTTCGCGGCCCCCAAAACCGCATGCTTTGCCGAGCGTCGCGACGTCAGGCAGGTCAGACCCTGCTGTCACGGCGTGCGTGCGTGCGTGCGTGCGTCCTGGTGTTGCGGGCAGGGCCGCCAAAGCCTATCGCGTTGTGCTACGAACTCCTTGGAGTGGGACGAGACGGAACAGTCAAGGTTTTTCTTGGTCAAGGCAAGTGGCGATTGGGGGGAAACTTGGTAACCAGAGCGCGTCGGCAGTCACGTCAACCCTTCGGGCCCGATGTTTGTTAGCCTTTGAGCCTAATCAAATGCCTCAATTTGGGGGAAGGGGAAGGGGGGTTCTATTTCGGTACGCCTCCTCGTGTTAGGTAATGTTCCAGACCCTGGTGGACTGATGGGAAAAGGTTGACCGTCAGGTCGTCCCAATGCGAGTACGCAGCGGAAAACCCCTTCGTCGTATCTTTGTCTTTGACTTTTCCAGGGTGTACGGCTCGTTTCAGGAAAGCAGAGCCAAAGCTTGAGCTTCCCGGTCCTTCTCGTATCGGAGAGCGGCATCCGGAAGACTCGGAAGCGTAACAGACGAGACGTCGCTGCCGGGCCGCTCGGATCGGACGGTGCGCAGCCGACAAAGGAGCAACGTCCTCAAGAGGGGGAAGGGGTGTTGTGCCGTGCGCGGATGACGGTGCCTGGCCTGCCCGGACGAAGCTTTCCGTCTGCAGGCGGCGAGACGATGTCATCTGATCAATGAGCTCCGGGTGGCCGTCAAAGGCATGCGGGCGGCCGGGGCGGGGCCGGGGCGGCGGCCGTTACGTTTGGGTGGGTGCTTCTCCAGTAAGTCAAGCCACAGCCCAGCAACGACTCCCCAAGGTTGTGACTGATGCCTTTGACAGTCGTTTGTGTATGCAACTGTAGTAAAAGTGAAGTCTAATTCGACACTGCTTTGGTGATGGTGATGGTGGCAGAGCTTTTGTGTCCTGCACTGTTTTTGGAGGAGAGTTGTGTGTGTGTGTGTGTGTGTGTGTGTGTGTGTGTGTGTGTGTGTGTGTGTGTGTGTGTGTATACATATATGTATATATATATATATACATGCAGCGATTGGAAGGTTTAGGGAGCTGGAACGTTATGTGACTATTATGGAAGTTAGTTATTTCAGGCGTCTTTTGTCCTCTACAGAAGCTCAAACGTATGTGTTAGCGTAAATGCAATGTGTCTCGTAGCCTATCTCATCTTGTCTGTATGGGGGTGACCGGGATGCTGGTCTTAGTAACAACATAAGTTTCCGCTCTTACTACAAACACAGTTTTCACTCCTAACAATAGCATCAGTTTTCAAACATGCCGACTTCTATTTTCATTATGAAACCCACAACTAAACAGCAGCATAAGAAAACAGTGAGAATCCACACCGATGGCTACCGAAAACGGCAAGGACACCATGCCGATGATATTTCCGTGGTTGCGGCTCGAGGGGCTGCAGGACCCCAAGAAATGCCTCGTCGACGGAGGGAACCTTATTGCAGAGGCACCGGCTCTGCTGGATGAGGTTCGAAACAAGCTCGAAGACAACGAGAGAGTGCTAAGGCTTGACAGGCCCCGCCCTCTCCTCCTGGACAGCGAGGACGACACCACGGGCTACGTACTGTTGATACGATTCAAGGAGGTGGACACGTCTCTGGGTCACGAGGGCGAAGTGAAAGAGGATACAGCAGCGTCCACTGAGCAGATGTGAGATGCGATCAAGTCAGAAGAAGGCTCAAACGAGTGAGAAACAATCCCAATTGGGCTTCCACCCGGCATGGCCATCGACCTTCTGCAATGTGCCATCACGCCCAGCAGTATGGTCGACATTATAAAGAACCTATCGGATGAGGACCGCCAGAAGTTGGTGACCGACAGAACGGGTGGTGCCGACGCGATGCGAAAGCTTATCCAGCGGCTTGCTACTGAGGATCGCCTCCGGATGGGCTTGAGGCAGCAAGAGAATGCCGACTTGGACCAGCGGCGGCACAGTTCCAACAGGTCATTTCGCACGCAGAGACTGACTGGCGCAATTTCGAGAGGTTCATCTCTCGAACAACGGATTCCGTACCGCAAAGTGGGGATGATCTGGCCGACGACGACGAGACAAGTTGCAGGCCGCCCCCTCAAATCTATGTCGACCTCATGAGTAAGACCCAGTCTCCCAGGTGAAGCCATAAACGCCTCCAAGAAGAAGCTGTGGATGCAGCATCCCGTTTGGACTAAGAGCATGCGAGCCTTGCGGAGTTGGTGTGGCGCAACAAAATGGTGATAGAGATGGCTAGCAGACTCAACGATACGGCAACATCTAACGTTGAGATACTGGCTGACAACGCGAAGAGTTGGAAGGAGCCCGACAGCGACTATTAATTGGCGAGGGATGAGAGAAAAGCCAACTTGAGCGAGATCTAATGGAAGCCCGGAGTGAGAATGATGTGATAAAGCAAACCCTAGTTAACAAGACTGGAGTTCTTAAAGAGTCTCGGGCCCATGGTGACAGCCTTGGGCAGGCTCTCGGGACAGCCCAAAGTGAGCTGGGTGCAACCAAGGAGACCCTGGCCATCAGCATAGTGGCCCTCAAGCAGACACAGATACACAGCAGCGAGCTTCAGTCGGATCTGAAATGCCTCGGGACGACCGCGACGAAGATCGGAAGATGTTGTCTGCTGTGACAAAATCTCTCGAGGACTATCAGGTCCTATGCAGCAAACTTTGGGGGAGCTCCAAACAAAGGAGGGTGAGCTTTGGTCCGACAGAGAACAAGCTTCAGTTAGAGAGGCGCCTAGAAGAAAACCACCACGCTCAAATGCAGTTCCTTTTCAGTGGCCGGCTCGGAGAGTAGGACGTTCTGATGGACGCCATGCTTCAAGAGGATACCTATGCCGCCGTCGACGGCCATCCCAGGCCTTGGGCTGTTCTCAGCATATGGGACGGCAGCGGCCGGCAAGACGAAGACTACAGCCAGCAGCCCATCTCTTCCGTATTCGTGGCGGTAGTCTCACGGTTCGGCCAGTCTGTGTCGAGCAACGGCTGTAGCCAGTTCCTCGCCGTAGTAAGCAGGCTCACGGAGTACCTTGCCACCTGCCCCGTCGCCAACTTGGCCGTCCTCACCTAGCTTATCTAGCGCGCAAACGACAGGGTGTCGATGCTGCCGGCAGCAGACCAGCCGCCAGCCCGTGCTGCCATCTGGTCATTGGCAGACACCGTTACCGTCCGATGGAACCAGATGCATCTGTGGCAGCCTGCTGGAGGGGCATTTGCGGACTATGTAGATGCCTGCGAGCGATGGATGGGTCAAGCTTCGAATCAACAGCAACGAGATCTACATGGTAAAGGAGAGCACTCAGCAGCTCGCGGTCATGTTCAACATCGCAGACTATGCCTTGTGGTTCCTCGACTCGGATGGTGTTGGAGACGCTAGGGGTTTCAAGGTGACGTTCCGCGGTCTCTTTGTAGCGATAGTGGACTATGATCATTACTTCATTCATTGGTTCTGATTCAGTATAGAAACGTAGAAATCCTGTATCGCCCTGTTAAAGAATGTGTATGGTCATGATAATATTTATTTGGTTGCTTGTGTGCATGTGTAACTGCCACTGTGAGATTTTTCTGAATATGTATTGTTAAATGCGTAGCAATAGTATATATAAGGAGTAAGTTCCATGGTAGTACTAATGATATTGAGGTAGCAGAAGACCACTTATACATAGCTACACTAACAGCTCCTTCCTTTTAAAGGGACTCCTCATTGTTCACCTTCTACACAATCATTTTCATAGCCCCCTCCCACTCAATTATTAAATTCTAATCTTACCAACAACTCACATCAATAATTCACGTCAACTCAAAACAACTAAAAAAAGCTTCATACCCACCTTGTTGCATTGGGGACGTGGCATCATGAGCGCACACGAAAACAAGCCCGGGGCAGCTGTTACTGGAGGATACCCTAACATCACGCCCTCGACCAATGAGACGACCGCAAAGGTCAACCAGGGGACGAGAGCGGCCGACTAGACGCCCCCAAATGCCTGAGAAGATGAGGTAGATGAAACTTCTTTGTCTACCGATCAACTCTGGTTCAATATCCGAGAGCAGAGAGACGAGCTCGCCGGCGGCCAAGCTACTCAACAAGAGCTCGACGAACAGCTTCCGTGAGGAGTGGGCCATCGGCATAACAGCACGGTACAAGGGCAAGGTTAGTTCCACCAAATCGGGCGTCGGATACTCTGTCTTCTCGGGCCCCAAGAAGATATATAAGAACGCTTGTGAGTATCCTGGGTCTCCGTGAACGAGAGCTTCGACCAACGAGAATTATTTAGATGACACCAGCATCACCGCCTGGAATGAAAAGCACAAACAGAAGTTTACAGCCCTCAAGAAGCTCACTCTGCCTTTCGACGATGGCTGTAGCGAGTGTTTGCGTGTCGAGAAGTCCGGTTCCTACAACGAACACGAGGAGGATATCCTGGAGAGAGATCAGCAGCCAAAACAGCCGCTTCATACGCCAGCGAGTCCTGCCACGGCCCTGTCCCCTACCGCAAAGCCGTTCGCCCCTGCCACGAGCCCCAAGCAGGAGGGAGACGTAACCCAGAAGAAGCAGAGCAAGACATCGGCAAGGGATCCCATCGTCAGCACGCCACTGAGCTCTACGTACGGTGGCAACACAGCAGCCTCTGCTTCATCTACCCCGCAGGCCGCCAAGAAGCCTCTGGTCGCCATGGAGAAGTACATCGAGTCGACAAGAGGATACCTGTCATTCTTCTACAAAGATATCGGTCTCGATCCCAAGATGCTTGAGCCTTGTGCGCCGCCATTCGAGGTTGCAGTGTCTGGAAACGCGAAGCAGCAACTCCGGTTCAGGCAGGAAGCGATCATGAAGATTGCACACCGTTGCATCAATAAAGATCTGCGCATCGCATGTATCGACCGTGACGACAAGAGTTCTTGTTGCCCTACCTGACGGAGCATGTCGACCCGCGAAGTTTCAGCTCATGGACCGACTATGTTCTGTTGTGGTAGAATCTTCAATTTTTCTTCTCGCACATGGCGGCGACCGCCAAGAGGTTCCTAGATGGACAAGAATAAGTGAATCCCTGATTCCTTGCAAGTCAGGCAATGCAAACGCACAGGTAGAGAACGGTTAAATCCACGACAGAGGCCATGACAGAGCCCCTGCCGCCGCCGTCACCTGAGAGTCCACGCATCTGCAAGATCAGGTTGTTGGGGAAAGAGTCGGTTGAGATCATCGAACTATCTGCCTCGAGAGATATTAGGGAGATCGTCAAGATGATCAATAGGAGGACCAGAGGACGACGAAGCTGGACGACATTCTGGAATACGGGCTTCACACCACCACCAAGTACGGTTCGGGGGCATTGATCTCCAAGAAGGGCATCTTGGATTGCGTTCGCAAGCTGTGGGATGACCACACAGGGGGGGACTGTCCAAGAGGTTGCAGCAGACGAACGAATGAATTACGACAACAAAAGGCTGTAGAGGCTCTGAGATTAACTAGGCGGCCGGAGAAGGCTCGTAGGCTGAATTGAAATTTTCAGCCAACCAAGACACTTGTGACTCGTGATGCTTGTAGTATTGGCGACATCTCCGGTGCATGGTCTAGGTATTGGGATACTTCAAAGAAGCCCTGCCTTCCAAAATCAATACTTATTTAGTCTTATGACACAACCAGGACCATAGAATCGTCACAAGCCTCACAAGTGCTTTGCGGGAGATTGGTATTGATTAGCCCACAGCTGTTCCGGCCGCACCCGTTGCGTCCACACTTCTCAGTAAAACATCGACCTACAATCGAGAGTTTGAAGAACTATCAAGCGCATTTTCATACGCATCAAACCAACCCTTTCGTTTGACATACACAATTCCTGTGCGAATTAGCCAAATCTTGTGACTAGCGAGAAAGCCAAACAGCCATGGCTGGCTGCTCCTCAACCCGCCTTCCCCCTTACCACCGCCGCCGGCGATCCTCACTCCAACATCAGAGATGCCTCTCATGAGCGGACCCAGAGCCAAAACCGTCCAAGACCTCGACAGAGGTGACACCTTGTGCGCAGTGAGGCTGCAGTTCCCGGAGCTTCTGCAAGAACTGCGTCTGCCCACCCACGCCGCCGAGTGGGTCAATCCAGCTCATCCATACCATACCATCCACTCGACGATCCATCATCTGCAGGACTATCGCATTCGACGCCCAGGCGAGCGGTGTTCCGCAATACGACGCGAACGGCCATGGGGTTTATGTCCTGGCGATCAATACGAACGGCAGACACGGCGCATTCCTTTCCAACCTGGAATACAAAATTGCTCATCTTGTATCGCGTATCTGCATATGAGGTCGCCGGCAAGCGAGCGTCTACCTTAACAAGCACATATGCATCCCTGGCAGCGCTAAACCCCATGTGTATATATAAATTTGACGAGTCTCCAGAACCGTCAGCGGCTTTCAATGTTCTAGTCCGTTTCTTTCCCATGAGACCAGGTCCCTTGGGGCAACTTGAAAGGTGTACGAGAGCAGCCGGTTGACTTTGTTCCATGCTCTTGGCCTATTGATCATTCTATCGCACTTCTGGCTAACCTCATTTTCGCCCTGCTCTGCTTTACATCTTTATATCACCATACCTGGGTATCGTCTGCCACGGACCGCGGGGTTACCAAGGTCTATAATAAACAAACTTGGTTGTCTCTAGTCCCCCACCCCCTTCCCCCCCCATAGCGCTAAAGGCCCGCGCGGCTCTCCCCGTTTCCCGCCAACTCCAGCCTCGCTCCGCTCGTCAACAAGGGCCATCTTGGGCAGATCCCGCTCGCCAAGTCGGTTGTGCAGATGGCAGACGTCGTAGCCCGGAGCCATGGCCTAGGCGGCGACGCCTTGAGCGACAGCATGCAATCCGTTGCTGGTGCTGATTTGGGTCACCCTCTAGATGCAGGTCGTCCTCGTGCTCTCGACACCGTCGCGGTCTCCTCATGACACCACCACCTGCCAAGGCTTGACGAGCCCCTCGTCCCCCGTGGTGACGAGCATCTCCTCAACACCCTTCTTCTCCGACCCCGCGTCGTACCGCTTGCACCAGGTGATGTGGTTGATCTCGTATGGGCCGTGGGCGTTGGGCACCTCGGCGACGACGTGCCACCGGCCCGACCCCGCCGGCAGTTCGCTGGGCTTCCCTTGGGTGGCCACCGCACCGTCCCCGTTGGTAGCAGTCGCCCCCGTCTCCGCCGATGCCTCGGACCCCGTGCCGTGCGCGTCGTCCTCCCGGTAGACCGCGATGACGCTGTCGCTCCCGGTGCTGGCCACCATACCCGAGGTGGCGCTCCAGGTGGCCGAGTAGATGTCACGGGTGTGGACCTTGGGCAGGACGGCGGTGCAAACCCAGTCCTCGCGCAGCGACCTCCGCATCGTGTTGGGGATGCCGCCCAGCCCGCCGTGGAAGGCGGCGCCGGGCCCGGCGTCCTCGTCCTCGTCCTCGGCCTGCAGGCTCCATATCCGTATCGTCTGGTCAGCCGAATAACTGAGCAGCCGCGGGAAGCCGCCGTCATCCCTCGGCTTCTGCTCCCACTGCACGCCCCAGACGGTGGCTTCGTGGCCCTCGAGCACCGCGACGCACACCCATTCGCCGTCGCCGTCCTCGCGCCATATGCGGATCGTGTTGTCGTAGCTCGCGCTCGCGAGGACGTCGGCGCTGTAGCGCCTCCGTGAGTTGCGGCCGGGCACGTCGGGGCACCACGCAATGCCCTTCATGTCGCCGTTGTGCTCGTTCAGGACGGCGACCGTCTCCCACTCGTCATCACCCTCGGTGGCGCCCACGTCCTCCCAGACCCAAACGGTCTGGTCTCTGCTGCAAGTGGCGAGGTAGGCGCCCGAGGGGGCGAAGGAGACGCCCTTAATCTCCGAGTCGTGGCCCTCGAGGACGAGCGTGAACTCCCAATCCTTGTCGCCGTCGCTGTCCGCGTCGCCGCGGGGGCGCTGTTTCGCCGCGCCGCTGAGGTCGATCTCGAGGGGCTCCGCGGTCGAGGAGGGTGCGTCGCCGCCCGCGAAGGGGAGCTCGCCGTCCCAGCGCCAGAGGCCGGCGGTGGAATCGAAGCTTCCGGTGACGAGGCACAGCTGGTGGGGAGGGAGGTTGGGCTTCCAGGCCACAGAGCGGATGGACCGCGTGTGGCCGCCGGTCAGAGTGCTGTGGGAGGAGAGGGAGGACAGGGAAAAGATCCTGACCGATTTGACGTAGGCGGTCGCGATGAGCGGGAGGGTCGGATGAGGTACGGAGCACCACGCGCGCTCGTAGAGGTCGGGTGTGAAGGGCGTGAGAGGGAGCACTCGGACAGCCGAAGCCGGCGTCTCTGTGGATGAAGGCATGTTCACGGCGGGATGTTGGATTCACCCAGGCGAGTTTGGTCGGGGAGGGACGGGTCGGAGCCGGGAAAAAGACAGCAACAATGGTCAGTCGACTGGGGTGGGACCGTCGAACTCGACTTGCGATTCCTTTGACGAGTCGGGCGTGATCTGTTGCTCGTACCAGATTGTTGGTGATGCAACGCCGCACATACCCCCACTACACCCGCTGGCCTGCAATCCTTTTTCTCTGGGCTATGTACGGCGGGGAGGGGAGGGGGCCCTTCTGCCCCGCGGTCGGGGCCCTTATCAGTGCTCGGGCAATCGTTAATCCAGCGAGAGCGACCGCCCCTCCGGCCCCGGAGCGGGCTCGCAAGGAGCTCGCCCCTCCTCTCCGGGGTGCTATCCGTCGCACCCCTGTCATTATCGGGATATCACGCATCACCTTCGCCGACGTGCAACCTCGCACAGGCGGAACGCGACAGCAACACCGCCGGCGGGCCTGCCCCATGAGCGCGAACGTAGCAGAGCATCGCGATGACTTTCTTGCGCGACAGTAGGTCGTCTCAAGCAAATGGGCCTGGAACCTGTGGCACTTGGAACATCAAAGAATCCAGCAAAACATCGCCACAGAGCAAGCCGTGCCATCTGGAATGTCTCGTCATCATCTAGATATCCTTCTTCAAGTCCTGTCTTGTGTCGAAAAATAAAGGACAAGCTTAGTAACATCGTTGTGGCTGCACCGTCGACTGGTCGTGGAGAAACAAGCTGGCCGACGTGGACAGCAGCCGTCGCATCTAGACTTTCCGATGGACTCTTTTTTTGTTTCTCCCCATGGCTTGTTTCTTTCCTTTTTGTTTCTTCGTTTCTCCACCCTCTTTCCTTTTTGCACGCCTCATTGGAAGCAGTAGGATGGTTCGGGTTGCACGGCGTCGTTGATTTCGTTAGCAGGCTGAGTGGGCGACTGACGTGCGTCTTTCTTTCTTGTGGTGTTAGTTTTGCCTTGGCTTAGAGACTTGGCGTCGCGAGCGACTCGAAACCTCCGCCGTTTGGATGACGCCAAGTCAGATAAAGCAACAAACAATGTCTCCATCGTGCGAGACAATCAATAGCCCGTTGAGACGCAACATTGTCTTCTGATTGACGTGTGGAGCTGTGAGGACCAGGGCGAGTCAAAAAGCACTAGCACTAGCCTGCCAGTCTGTCAATCAATTCAGCTATCCGTGGAGCACCACCGCAAACTTGAAGATGCGCTGGCGCATCGACTTGTCCGTTGTGCGTCTCCGGTCATCAGCTATCGTCTGGTGTAGGATAGGAAGGGGCTCGCGACTGATGATCGTTTGGATGACTGCAGTGCGCGGGCCATCCTGCACACCGCCCGGGAGTCAGACCCCCTCCTGCCAGCCAGTCGCTAACAATAATATCCCAGAGGCAACCCCTCAAGTTGCAGATTTGCTCCAGCGAAGGCAAAACAATTCAGGTCGGGCTATCTATCTACATGGCATCCACACAACGGAAAACTATGCAGCTCGGCCCGGCTGGCGAGGAGAGTTATGGTGCACGCACACGACGCCAGCAAACTCCGCCATCTCTCTCCTCTTTCCATAACTAGTGCTAGCTCGATGGGACTCGACAGCCGAAGACGCTACGGGTCAATACCTAGAAAGCTCAAGGGATAGCCAAAGTGTTAGCCGTTTGAGCGTGACGACCACATGGCGCGACGGCCCCTCTCAGACGTGTCTTGGCTTCTCTCCCTACAGAGTGGCGCGCACTTGCTGCTTGGCAAAAGAAATAGGGAGAAACACGCCCATTACGGTATGGAATGAGAGAGTATGATGGGCAGAATCCGAGTTCTGATCGACTGGACAGAATCGGAGCACGAACTGCAGCTTCTGAGCACGACAGCTTGTCGCTCCGTCCACACTTGTGCACCTTCTCCGGCAGGGTGATCCTCCCATGCAACCATCTAGTGCTGCTTGTCTGGCACTCGGATGACCAACAAAAAAAGGACACCTTTTCCCCACAACCACCACCGAAAAGCATTCTGATTTCTGTCACCCGAGTGCCTGGAAGCATACATATGCGCAGCGGAAACCCCCCAATCCCCCCGGGTGCGTCCTCGACGTCAGCCGCTCATTCGGCGTGTCTCCGTCCTGTGCCCACTTCGTCACAAGTCCAGCGACAAAGACCCGGACAGCGTTTGGCAGCAAAAGGCTGTAGGCAAGAGGAGCGCGGCCCGTCGTTGATACGCCGGTCCCCTAGTCCTCTGCCCGATCATCAGCAGGGTCGCCAACCGAGACATTGGATTCAGCGCGCCATTCTGAACGACATTGTACGTCGTGTAACCCGTCCCCCTCCTTGCTTTTTCTCTTCGTCCTTGCATACCAGACCGACTACAGCCCCGTGTCGGTCACATGGGCCGAGCTGCGATGCTGTGTGCCTAGGCGGCAGAATGCATTCAGGGAAGAAGAAAAGGAAAGGAAAGAGGGCCTCGGGCGCAATCGCGAAGAGCTTGTCGTTCCGCGCGAGCTGCCTTACTGATGGCGGCTGCCCTCGGCAGAATTCTTGAGTGCAGGTATCTGGCCCGTGTGGTGTTGGGAATGGAGCAGCACATACACTTCTTGATTATGCTATATCCGTACCTTCGACAGGCCAGGCTTTTGCAAATCTTCTGTTGTCGGCATCCACTCCCCTGCCCTGGCCTTCTCGAGGCCCTAGTTGTGTTCCCGTTCCCCAGAACCAGGGCCGACCGAGGCCGCAAGGTTTCAGGGCCGGACGGGTGGATACACTATTATTATAGTAGTATGTCGTCGCGGCGTGGCGTACCTGGCCGCAGACGATGCCAAGATGGTGATGTGCACCGCACCTCTTGTTCTTGCGCTGCATATAGGTGTGTCTGTGTGCATGTCTGTGTGTGCCTACTAGGGCAGCCCTATGCTCGTCGTCGAAAGGGGTGTGCGAATAGGCCAAGTCTGCATCAGTGGCGCCTGCTGGTTTGCCGACTTTGGGAGGGGGGATTCCAGTCGGTTTGCGTGTTCCACGAAAAGAATAGACATTCGAGTCGAGAAGCTGGTTGAAAACAGGACATGAATGGCCGACGTCGCCTTTGGCCACCACATCTCGTCGACACGACCCGGATCGAGATTAGAAAGAGGCCTGTCGAGGACGCGCAGTCAACGCATCCCCTAGCTGGGCTGGGCGTTCGTCTGGACCCTATTGGGCCATGATTGACGAGTCGAGTATGATGCAAGTGCGGCTGCATCGGGCCAGGCTGAAAGCCCGGATTGGTAGCACCGCAGCAGATAGTGTAGAAGAAAAGGAAAAAGAAACGGATGCAGGATAAGCGAGATCCATCAGCCGAAAACCCCCGCCTGCATACTGCCCACAGATTACCGGTACCTCGCTGTTAGCGAATGGGTGTGCCGCACGCATCCTGTACCATATTACGGAATATGTACACTAGGATGCTGTGCCGAAGACGGACGAGCCCCCCTCCCCCCCCTGTGTCCGTTCGCAGGGATTACTGCAGATCGTGCCATCCATCTCGTCCAAACCCCACTCATACTTCCATTTGGAGCATGCGAACACTGTTTGCTTTTGGGCGAACCGAACGCATCATCCTAGGCCGTCGTCATCTCCATCCTTCGAATCCTTTTCGATAGTGGCCAGAAACCACGGAACTGATCGTGATCCGTCTCGTCTGTTCTCGCATTGTCTCTGGCATTTTGCGTCGGTCGTGCAGAGGGGAGCGGCAACCCCGGCTAACATTCTCGAGCCAACCGTTTGCTCGACCGCGCTCGGCCGTGGCGTCAGGCTTAGTCGCCTAAGCGGCGCCTCCCCAGAGAGAACCTGTGAAAGTCATTGTCGGACAAGACCTGCGATTCTTCTGAGGGCGGCAGTCATGGGCTGTTGGTACCATCTCCCTTGATCGTGTCATGTCTCTCGTGCCGCTTGTCTTCTGTCGCTTTGATGGTCTTGGAATCCCACCCTTTGGGTGGTGCATGCCCCTCGGTGGCGGTCTGCGATTGATAGCTGCTGGTCGGTGTCTCTTCCTTCTGCGTGTCTACGACATTTCACGAGATGGCGACTTCGGACTGGCCATGACTGGCTATGGCTGGGCAGTACGCAGTTTCCCTGCATCGCGCCAGCCACGAGTGGCTGAATGTGTCGTTTCTTCTCCCAATGGCCCACAGCATTTCGGTGGATGTGTCGCTCGCGAGGAAGCTGGGGCTCCTGCTTCTCCCGTCAAATCCTCCGTGTCCCTGAACCGCGCCGGTCGTCACAGTGTTTGGTCAAGGCACTTCTTTGTTTAGATCAGGAAACAGGCCAATCTCCACGCCGTCCGAGTACAACACCTCGCGCGACGACCAGATTCTCTTTCCGCGCTAGGCCATCACGGCCGGTAAAGGGGTCCGAGCTAGAGAGACGAGGTCGAGGGTCGGCGACATTCATAGTGGGAGACGAGGCTTGTTCAGATCTTGATCGGCTTGGCTGCTCGTTACTGACAAATCCCCCGATGCACTCGAGTTGACCAACTTGGAACCTTGAGGTATACAATACCCCTAGGGCGTCCGGCCCTTGGCTAAACGAGGAATAGGCCCGTCCACTATTTCTGCAGTTGTTGGCTCGAAACTAGCTGACGGTTGTCGCGTTCGGTGAGGTTGAAGAAAGGCGGGAAACATCCCTTTAGCTAGCCCGTATTGAGATGAGAGCCATGCTTCGCGAACAAGCGTCGCGCCAAAAGCGTCAGCCAGTCCCGATCCGCCGCTTCTCTGTCTCACCCTGACACCCATGATATGTCCTGGATGGACCCCCGGTCTTTCATGGGGAAACCACGCCCTCCTCCCCAAGACTCTCTTAAACTCGTCCAACGGAATTCTCATTCTCCGGCCTGCCACGCGAGTCGAAAGATATATCTACACGACGACCGGGCACCGCGAGCGAGAGAGACATTCGAGACCGAATCTACCTGGGTGGCTTCTCCCAGTCAAGCGCCGCCAATATGTCCACAACGATCGAGGACCTGTTCTCCAGGTACCATGGGCAGGTGGTTCCGAGGGCCTTCAACGGCGGCTTCATCACTCTCAGCTTCGCCGTCAGTCTTATCGGCGCGGCTTCCACTCTCGAGCTGCTGAACAGACGAACCTCACCCAAGGGCAAATTCAACCAGTAGGGACCCCTCAACCCCCGTCTGGGGCGGCGTCCGGCTTACACTTGCAACAGTCTCCTCCTCGTCAGCTCCGCGGTAACGATGGGCGGAATCGCCATCTGGTGCATGGTGAGTCGGCCGGGTCCCGTCGCCCGCCAGGGGGGGGGGGGGGCTTGCGAACTAACATCTCTCTCAGCATTTCATCGGCAACCGTGCCATCGACTTGGCCGACGGAGAGCCCGAGTTGCAGATCGCGTATTCGAGCGGCTTCACCGCCTTGTCCTTCTTCGTCCCCATTGCGGTGCTACTCGCCGCCTTCGTCGCCGTCGGTATCAATAACACCGTCTCGTGGTGGCGAGTCTCTGTAGGAGGCGTCCTGGCCGGTGCCGCCATCTGCGGCATGCACTATCTCGGCAACAACTCCATCGACAACTACATCTGTATCTACAATCCGATCAACGTCGTTGGCGCGGCGCTCATCGCCACAGCCGCGAGCATCGTCGCCCTTGCCCTCTTCTTCGTCTTCCGCGCCGCCTGGACCACGTCCTGGTGGAAGCGCGCCGCGTGCTCCGTCGTCCTGGCCGGCGCCGTTTCCGGCATGCATTGGTGCGCTTCCACCGGCACCGAGTACCAGCTTGTGCGCCTCAACACCGGCAGCAACGAGTTGTCCCGCAACACAACCGTCATTGTTGTCATTTGCCTGGTAAGCTCGGCCACGCCGCTGTTTCTGGAGAGTTCTCAGGTCATTAACGCTGCGGGACAGTCGGTCGGTGCTTGCTGCGTCATGGGCGGGACGGCTGTTTATACTGCCCGCATCATGAAGCGGTACGCCAGCAAGGCACAGCAAGTGGTTCTCGCGGCCGCTGTTTTTGATAAGCACAATCGCATCCTCGTCAACCCCGACGGCCTGATTCCGAGTGAGAAGATCACAGACACGTTCCTCGAGAAGAACGCCAGTGACAACTTCAACATCGCCCACCCCTTGTTTCTGTGGATGTTCCAGGCTTCGCGAAACTGGTCTGGCATCTCGACGCTCGTCGGCAGCATGGCGAACCACTTGGCTCACCTCCCGAGGCGTGGCCGCGACCGCGATACTCGTGCCGGCATCCAGCTCATCAACGAACACGGCGAGCTCATTGAGAATTACGACGTCATCTTCCGTGAGCTCTTCTGCGTCGCTGCCGTCGGCCTTGCCGAGAAGATGAAGGAACACCTGACCTCCGTCGGCCTGTTGTGGGACGAGATCCTGCCGACCGGCGCTAGCGGCGAACGCCCGGGATGCGACGCAGGCAGTCGACCAGACGCTTCCCCCGTCCTGCGGCCTGATGGGATAACAAGAAAGGTTGAGGCGACCAGCAATAGCGGCGATCTAGCAGAGAAGGGGGTAGGCCACCGGCGTGTCCACGAGTTCGGACGAGGGTCCCTTATGTTCTTGGTACGCCGAGTGCAGACTGACAGAGAGATCGAGAGGCTGGAGGCCGCCGGGTACCGATTTGCGGAGCTTCGCCAAGTCAGCAGTATCATCGGGACCAGCATGCAAATCAAGTCGGCGGACCTGGAGTCGAAGCTGTACAACATGGCCGCGTACGCCGACGACGACAACCAGCTGGAGCCGGGCGTACACATGGGGCTTTTCGGCATCCGCGCCCGCGTGGGCAGCTATGGTTTTGATGTGGCCGTCCGGAAGGGAGCCCGGCACCTGTTGCCCAGCGTGCAGATGCCCATCGACCGGATCGAGCAGTGGCACTTGACCTTCCTCCGACAGCTGGACCGTCTGAACACCCTCAGCATGAGCAGTGCGCTAGCCTCCATGCCCAATGTGGGCACCCGTGAGGTACAATTCGCGTCCCAGTTGATGGACAGCCTCAACGCACTGCGCACCTGGGTTGACGACCCGATCTTCAACGAGGCCATCCTCACCAGCACTGTCGTCACGCTGCCGGCGATTCAGACCCCCAACGAGGCGTCCCAGCCACTCCCGACGAGCCTGATCGCCTTTCGGCTGGTGATTCCGATTCATGTCAACTTCATCAGCCCCAAGTGCGAGTTCATCCCGTTGAACTTCTTCAAGGTCCACCAGCTTGTTGGCCGCGACACGTCGCGCCACCTTGCCTTCACGCAGTCAGTGCATCGTGAGCTGGCGCCTGTTCTCCAGTCCGTGCCCCCCGAAAAGCCAAGCCCGGCGTTGCATAGCAGGAGACAGTCTCGCTATTCGTCGCGCTTTTACAGCTTCAGTGGACCGAACTCGTTGCACCCGGTAGACTCGGACGGGAAACCCGTCTCCACGGTGCTCGGGCGCTCCTCAATGGGGACACACTCGAACGAGTCGAGCTCGACCCTCAAGCTCTGGACGGCAGGTCGCGACAGCGATGCCATGTCTCCGGGCGCCTCGAGCTTCGACGCGGCGCCTCCGGCATACACGAATCACGAGCCGGTCAGTCAGTCGTCGCCGTTTGGCGGCATCATGGTGTCGGAAGAGATCCGAGTTGAGGTCTCCAACGCCGACGACATCACGCACCTGGCGGCCCCCGAAGCGCGGACGTTGCACCGTCGGACGCCGACTTTGATGGACCGGCGGGCAAGCGAGCCTCTGGGTAACATCGTGGCCAACGTGGGCGGTGAGATGGACGAGGTCGCCAGGGATGATAGGCGCAGCAACAGCACAAGCAGCGGCGCCATCGAGATGCGAACGCTGCAGGTGGCCGAGGTGAGGACCGATGTCCACGCCGGCGGCGGCACGCAGAGTTCAAACGTCGCTGTGGACAGGGTGAATGACGTGGCGACGTTCGTGGACCAGCTGTTCACCATCGCCATCGAGGGCCGGTAATGACGAAGCTAGCTTGTGAAATAGGTTCGGCATGGCGTTGACCAGAGTCGGGATAGGTTTCCTTTCCGTTGTTCGAGTAAAGAGGGGACAGGAAGCATGAATAGATACCCAGGATAGCTCTTGTCAGGCGACAGGTGGGAGGCCCTTGTGCAAAAGAAACATACTCTTAATAGTAATCAAGGTTTTTGTCTGGTGTTGTTGACCGTCGCGAATATGTAAACTGGATGAACCACATGTGCTCGGCTAGTTTGGGGGGGAGATGATTCGACGGTTTGCACATGTAGTGTAGCATGCATGTGCCGTGTGCAGGACGCCTTCTCGGAGGCTTTGAACGGCAGGCATTGAGTGGTCCGCACCGTCCGACATCTGACGTCGATTCTTGCCGGACTGCGTATGTCTGGGATGTAGTCGATTTTGAGCTTGGACATGGGCAGGGGCCGGGGCCAACAAGGAGGAGCACCCCAGGCGGGCGCATCCGACCGCAGGTGCAATCAGGAAAATGCGACTTAAGGAGCCGTCGAGATGCTGCGAGGCCGCGGCTGTAGACGAGACCACACGATACACCGCTCCATCTCGGCCAAACAGTGTAAACAAACGTTTGTCCAGCATAGCCAGTCACCTTCCGCTCGCTGTGTTACGACGTGGCAATTTTGGGCATAAAAGACGGAGCAGAGCAGAGCAGAGCAGAGTAGAGCCAAAAGCTTCTTGTCTATCCCGCCGCAGGCACGCCGTCATCTGCTACTCGGCCGGCCTCTACGTCTGCTTCCAAATCTGCGACGCTTCGCGGCCGGCACATCGATCGCCGGTGCTGCTCCTTTTGCAGCCCCCCGTCGCACGTGCCTTTTTTTTGGCCGCTGGACCGCCGCGGCGCACGTCGCAACTCTTGCTTATCCTGACCTCTCTGGTTGGTGATTGTTGTCATGGGCCGGGGCGCGCAGACATAAGGGCTCGTGTTTGTATTGCCGGAAGATCCCATCTATACGTACTCTAACGACCGCCCTCCCTCCTGGCCGCCAAGGACGGCCGCGATCAGGGCTTTACCCCCCCCCCCAAGCACGCCTAGGCTTCGCTCGAAGCTCTGCCCAAGGTCATCGACATCATGGCCGAGGAGCTGGAATGGGCCAGGCGGCACCAAGAGCTCGAGTGACGGGACAGTAAACTGGAGCGTCCCTCTCTTCCGTTTTCGCCCGTATGCTAACCTCTGCCGGGCAGCCGTCGAATCTGGTCCGTTCTTGCAAGCCTTGTCGGCCGCCTGCGCCCACACGTACGGTACGGCACGTAACGCCCGTAAAATGAGCAAGGCTGTCGGAAGCGGGACAGAGTTTGTCGATAACAAAGAGGACTGTCTCAGTAGTGGAGCTGTCTCGGACAGACTGTCCTGTCCCTCTTATTCCATCCAATTGGGCGACGTCTGGGTTGCTCTGCATCGTTGGGATAGCATGAGAAACGCCCGGGGGGTGGTATTGAGTTCGCCCGCCCCCCCCCCCCCCCCCCCCCCCAGGATGTGAACCGGGCGTGGAGGCACCTGGACGGCCAGTCTTGAAGAGTGGACCGAGAAACAGCCGGTGCCATCGTGGTCCGCGGTGCTGAGTGACCTTGTGATCTGTCACGCGTTATGCTCTCGCTCCGATGGAGGGCATCATCGACGAATCAACAATCAAGGTGGAATCAAGTACGAGGACCAAATAGCTCTGTTTGTTATGCAAGACATTCGGATCCTATCAAGGGACGTGATACAACACGCCTTTTTAAAACATAATCATGAACCTCGTCTTAACATTCCATGTATGCCTACGCCAGCGAGCTACACAAGGGGGCGTATTCCAGCTCCCCAGGGAGCTCACAATGCCTTTCACACCGTGTTTTACGCTGAAAGTAAAAGCAGCCGCTTCTCACCAAAGCTCCTCGCAATGCATCATGAGATTTTCCAGGCCCAAGCCTTGTAAATGCCAAAATAACTCCTCATATAAAGTGTGCTGAGCCCATGTCTATGATCCCCTTTTCTTTTCCGAAATAATGCGGTCGTGATAATGTCTTCTCGCCAGAAAACGTCAAAGTGTGGCCTGGTGTCAAAAATACAAACGTCGAAAGGTAAAATAAAGAACTGAGTAACGCCGGGGAAAATATGTGGAGAGAAATGGTATCATGGCTTCGAATGAAAGCTGAGTAGTATTCCGATCTTCCAAGGCAAGGCTGACCCATTCGTACGTATATCGTGTGTGTGTATGTGTGTGTATGTGTATGGCCTAGCTGGAGGTGCTGCTGGCACGGCGTACCTCCATGTCATCAAAATCTCTGAGTGAGTTCCCCATGCTGAAAACACGGTGCAGGAGGCTGCGTTTGGTAATGCTGGTCCGGCGGTATTGGTAGTCCTGATCGTACGGGCAAGCCAGGACGGGGCTGGTGAGCCGGCTCTGTCGCTCGAGCTCGGCATCCCAGCCATAAATGTCTTCGTCGGACGCGGCGCGGCAGTAGGACCCGGCCCCGGTGGTGGCGACGACGACAGGTTCCTCCTCGGGCGGAGGCTGCACCCTGATGCCGAGCAGGTTGGAGAAATCTGTGAACTTGCAGTCGATCGACGGGGACATCGGCAATGGCAGCTCGCTGGGCTTGACGTCGAGGGCAGCGGCTGCCGGCACAGCGTCGCCCTTGATCTTATCGCTCAACGCTTCTGGCGCGGCGTGGGTAGCCGATGCGGGAGAAGGAACGCCGACGCTTCCGAATGCCGGCATCTCTGTGAGCTTCGCGTCATTTGCGATCTCAGTCGTGATCTTAAACGGGACCGGGGTGCGTGACCGGACGCGGATTGGGCGTCGTACCAACCAGGGGCGGCTGTTGCGGTACGGATTTAGTTCCTTTGCGGCCATGCCACCGTTGCATCCACCATCAACGTGTCGTGAAGCGGCGAGGGCAACCTTCTCCGAGGCCCTGCTCGCCTCTTCCGCCGCCGTGAGAGGGAATCGGCTGCCTGGATGGGGCTCCTCCCAGGGGTTGAATAGGTGACGGACACGCGAGAAACCGTCCAACGGGAGGTGGGTAGACGATGTCGCTGGGGTGGTGGATGTGGTTGGTGGCATGACCTCTGGTTCCTATAATGGGTTGCTCTGACGGCTGGCCTCCGCCATATTAACGTCTGCGTCGTTGATGGGCGCCGACGACGGCGCGTGGCTGTGGCGGTTGGACCGTGACTTGCGGTGCAGTCCCAGCTTCGCGCCGACCTTCTTCCAGCCGTTGGTGTGGGCCGTCAAAGCCCGCTGGAGGCCGCCGGGAGAGGTACTGAAAGTCCAATCCGAGGTGGGCGGCGTGGTGGGTGGCGTCATGGGTTCCGTGCCGGGAGAGGCGGCGCTCCCACTATCGTCGGTGAGGCCCTCACGCTCCATGCCCGACGCAGAGGCAGAACGACTGGTGGCTCCGCTGCGACCGACAATCAGCTGAGGCAGAAACTTTGGAGACCGTTTGGGTTCGTCTAACCTGGCACCGGCCACCTCCACCTGCAACCGAGAGCGTCCTTGCCGCGCATCATAGCCTTCGTCGTCCATGCGCACGTCGCCGTGACCGGGCATGACAGACTCGATGAAGGGTACGAGGACAGAATCGTTCATGAGCTCGTACACAATCCCGACGGCCTCATCCAGCTCGGAAGGAGGAGGAGGGATAGGGGGGCATTGCTGCGCCATGAGGCGGTCCCGCACGCGCGAAGGCAGGTTGACCTCTCGGGGTGCATATGGGATGATGTATGCCTGCATCAGCTTTTCCCACAGCGAGCAGACGTGTTCTGTGCCGTCGCCGGCCCATTCTTTGTGAGTAATGATCTGTTGATAGGCGTTGCGGTATCGTTCTGCGTCCATGGTGAACTCGAGCGTCTCCAAGCAGTGGTTCTGAGAGAGATAGGCCATGAAGGCCGTCAACGTCCATGGCGGGGACGAGGTATTAGATAGAATCTCCGAGAGAGAAGGCGGCGTCAAGATGACGGCGCCCGGCATCAAGGCCCCGCTGGTGGGCCTCGACCTCGACATGATGGTGGTGCGTTTCCAGTCCGTGACTGATGGGGCCGGACTGGGTGGAGACAGTTCCCTCTCGGGGGATGGCGATGGGCTCAGGTAGATGGGGGAGTGTGTTCTTATCCTGGACCTTTTCATCTCCACGCTAGGTCGTCGGGACAATAAAAATAATAAAGGTGACAAAATGTGCTGCTCCGTGAGATAGCAACGGGGCAGGGTGTAGAGGAAAGTCTGCTTTGCCTAGACGTGCCTCGACAAACCCATAGAAGGCGTCCCGTGCGATGGATGTACTGCTCTCAAGGCGGCGTGTCGAATACCAAGCAACTCAATTCCTTGGCTGTCGGGTCAAAGCTCGACGATGCCACTCGGATTCCTAATCAGCAGATCCTCGACGAGGTGTCGGTTGGGGTTGAGAGTCGGTTAATCGCGGGTCGATTTGGTGGTTTGCGCTGTGTGTTGGTAGGGGCTCGTGGTTCGAAGTGTCGGATCACAAGAAATGCAACATGGGTATCTATCCTTGAAAGAGAGATGGTGTGCTGGGACGGGCTGGGGCATAGGCAGGGTAAATAGCCCAGAGCGTTGTAGATGAGAGCGATGTCCCAAGGCGGGCTTCGAAAGAGGCTTGCACTAAGACGGATCTGGGCGCGCTAGAAGTGTCTTGGTGACGGGAATGGAATTGACTCGTCGCAATCGGCAGTGAATGTGGAAAAAGCTGCTTGCAGAACGTCGCCAACAACAGCGAATCCACGGGCGAGAATGCAGGTGAGCCACCAAGGTCGACGCCGGGGAGATCTATGCGGAATGCAACCAAGCCACACGTTCCAAGGTCGTCGTCCAGTACAGTCAAGAGTTCGATACGGTGCGTGGAGAGGGGATCCTCTTTCCTTCCCTTTTGTTTGAGGCCTGCAGAGGAGCGGCGTGACGTCTTACTGATGCCAGGCTATTGCGAACCCAGGATGCGGATGCTGATCGAAGGAAACGTGGCGGGGCGTGGTGGTCGAAACCGTCGGTACTGTACAAAAGCAGGTTGCTTGCTGAAGCTAACGGTTGATGGGACGAGAGCCTAAAAAGAGGTACAGCGGCGAGCGAGTGAAAGACGGGGTTGGAAAAAAAGCAGATTCGAGAGGTTCAGGTTGTAATGGCGCGAGGGTGAAAGTCGTCGACGACGATGTATGTGTTATGCGTAGGTGTGTATCAGGCAGGCGAAGTTAACCGGTTGTCATGGATGGCCGGGTGGATAGACGATGTATTATCGTGAGAGAATGGATGAAGTGAGAGAAAGGCAAAAAGGGTCTAGAAATGTCGATAGCGGGTTCGGGCGTTTGTGAGAAGGAGAGAGCAGGTGAAGCAATTCGTGAGTAGGAAGGAAGGGGACGGGTAGGAGGAGAGGACATGAGATAGCTAAAAGCGCTGCCCCGTAGAGGAGGAAAAGGATGAGGAGGAGTACTCGGACGAGGTACCTTTTGGGAGACGGCGGTACCGTACCGCAGGCGACGAGGGAAGGCAAGGAATGCTGGAGCAAGGCCAGGTCAGGATGGTATGGGGCAAGTGAGAGGGAGTGCTCCGCACCCAGCTAGCGTGTTCTGGTCCATGTATACCAGGTACCTGCTGTGGATTGGGACACGTACCCGCACCCTTTCGCCTCTGCTTGACATCACGCTACAGCGCGAGGCACCGAGTAGGAGTACCTTGCCACGGCCCCTTTGGGAGTACAAGCCCACCTACCCACCCACCCACACGCACGCGCGCGCCGCGAGAGCGACCCTTGCTGATAGGAAAGCAGGGGGGGTAGAAAGTGCCCAGGAACTTCGTAGTGTATCTGTATGCGTACGCAGCACGGAGTAGAAAGAAGCCTTTAGGGGGAGGGGGCGGAAGCACATCAAATCGGGTCCATTACACATCTCCATATCACCCATGATCATTCCCCATCTTCTTCCAGACCAGCACCAGCAAGGGCGGCCTCAACGTAGTCAATGGCTCTCGTTCGCCTGTCGGGGAGGAGGAGGAGGAGGAGGAGAAGGAGGAGACCCGGACAACGCGCTGGACGGGTGGACGAGGCCAGGCATGCTAAGCAGGGGTGAGAGGGGGGCCTGATAACGGGGATGCGAGAACAAGCCCTTGATGCTAAGGGAGGGTAGGTACAAAGCGCCAGGCCGCAGCAAAGGTATCGACGGCGAGCAAGCAAAGTGGTTGTGGTACGCGGTGATGAGCGTCGACGCAAGTATCCGCAGCATGGCACCGGCCCCACCCTGGACGGAAATGCCTATGGTCTAGCAGGGGTATATCGGGCAAAGGAGACGAGACGAGGCAGGTGGCACATCATTGCCCGGACGGAGAAGGTAGCAGACGGTCCAATGGTAACCAAGCCATGGGGATGTGCATGGCATCTCTTTGGTCTCTTTTTATCCCGTTGCTACCTCGAAACACGGCATCGTCGCCGTCGCCGTCGCCCCTTGTACCCGTCTGTCTATCGCTGCGGACCTGTTGTCTTGGGTACCAGGCGAGGCAGACAACGACGAGGCTCGGTCAGAACGTGAGAGAAGACACACACACACACGAGAGCGAGAGCGAGAGCGACAGCGAGAGAGAGAGAGAGAGAGAGAGAGAGAGAGAGAGAGAGAGAGAGAGAGAGAGAGAGAGAGAGAGAGAGAGAGAGAGAGAGAGAGAGAGAGAGAGAGAGAGAGAGAGAGAGAGAGAGAGAGAGAGAGAGAGAGAGAGAGAGAGAGAGAGAGGAGAGAGAGAGAGAGAGAGAGAGAGAGAGAGAGAGAGCCCTTGTGCAGATTGTACACTCACTGCACAGGGCTCGGGGGAGTCGAGAGGTAGGTACATGATTTGTATGGCGCGGGCGGGTACCAGTGGAGGCATGCTGTGACTAACAGCCGACGCGTTGCTCTTGCGATGACGGAGTGGCACAGAGGCGGGGGGAGTATTGGCTGTATGTGTGTGTGGTCAGGCTGTGTGAAAAGGGCATTCCTCGGGTGGGAGCCCAAGTCCAGACAAGCCGAGCGAGCTGTCATGAGCTGGACGGGCTTATGTGGCCAGTCATTATTTTACGGGGTCGCGTCATCGCAGGGGTTGTGGTCTGGGGTGCTCTCCTTATTCTTACAGGGCACGGGCATTAGCAGGATGGGCACAAGTGAGGTGGGCCGAGCAATGCACAACGGACGGAATGGAAGACTGATGGAAGACAGGATGGAAAGGCGGGAAGGAAGGGAAGGAAGAGGAAGCAGAAGAGAAGGGAAAAAAGAAGAAAAAAAAAAAAAAAAAAAAAAAACTCTGAGTTGGGCCTGGCAGAGCGTGAGCCAAAGCAGACAGACAGGAGGGGGGAGTGGGGCCATTGATAGTGGGAAGGAGGAAGGAAGACATGTGTATCCGTGCCTAGGTGGAGAAGGCACTCTAGAGCGCGCTAGAAGGCATCGACCGGGGTTGAGCGATCCAATGACGGCCTCTCGTGGTCGGATTGTCCCCTTTTAGGGAAAGCCGGCAACGAAAGTTGAAAAAAATTATGAAAAATTGGCAGTCGGGCAGAGGCACCAGAATGGAAGGCGAATGGAACGTTTAGAAGAAGGGGGCGAGACAGGGGTGTGCTGGGAACGGCCAGCCCGCGGAACCGCTAAAGGGGGGGGGGGGGGGGGGATTGAGGTCTAGGCACCATCTTTTGTGCATTTTCCCATCATCCTCCTGTCTATGAGTACCAAGTATCGTATTGGTCTTGTTCTTCGCCCCCCTACCTCCCCCCTGCCCGTATGATCCCCTTTTTGCAAAGGAAAGAATGAGAAGAAATGGGGAAGAGGAGGAAGAAGAAGAGGAGGGGAAAGGGAGAGAAAAGGAAAAGAAAAAAGAAAAGAAAAGAAAAAAACCTCGATCCCCGCTTGCGTATTCTGCGTTGTCCACTCGGTACACGGAAACACTTTGCATTAGTGTCTGGGCCTTCTCCTCACGCTGGGGGTCTAGACGCTGCCAACAACTTGTGCCCCGTTTTCCCACCGACTCATCGCGACCGATCTACCGTATGTTGCTTCACCGTTTCACCCTTCGCACGGCGTGACGACCCACACAGGTTACGATAACGGGCATGACAGACGGGCATTTCATCCGCGCCGCCAAGCCCACCGTTGTGGTTCACAGCCTCACTCTGCCGCCCCCATGCTGGACGCTGGACGCTGGGGAAACCATGAGAGGAGACTCCAGACTGTCATCATGATCGCGGTGCCAGCCGTCCTGCTCCTCTGCTTGGCTCCGTGGCCGTTTCCTCCGTCTGCCCCGTTTTACCCTCACCTGGCGCCCATCCACAAAGCCCCTCCGTTCCAGCTCGTGATGTGCTAGTAGTACGGATACATCTTATCCGCTTGACGCTCCGTCCTCTCTCCGGGACGGAGAGACTGCCTGAACACAGCCCAACCGTTGCTCTCGGGCCAAGCTCCGAACCCGGGCGACAAACACCACGCTCGGGTATGCGGTCCCCTACACGTACGGATCCTTGTGGCATATGGACGCTTTCACGGCTTTGACACGCCTCATTCCAAACGATGCCATCCGTGCGCGTACCCCTTTTGCCTTCTCGCCGACATTCTCCACGCTCTCGCTTGACCCTTCAGCCATCTCTCCGCCTCATCATCCGTTTCGCTCTCTGTCAGCTTCGCCGCTGCCATGAACCAATCCAGTCCCAGCCTTCCTCTAGCCGGCCCCACAAGGCCATCCGGGCTCGCCTCTAGCGAAAAACAAAATATGAACCAGGGGTGGGGGGGGGGGGGGCGGAAACAAGGTCAACAGAATAGCTCAGAGAGCACAAGCCAAAGGGTATGAGTCCTGGGCCACTTGCTGTTTCTCTTCCGTATCGTCAATCGTATCGCTCTCTTTCGTCTCCTCAATGGCTGAGTTGATGAATCCGTGTGTGGACACGCTTCTGGCATGTTTGACCGTGATTAGGGTGAAGCATAGCCCAGCGGGTCTCACTATACCAACCGGTCCGGTGCGGAGCATTCGTGTGGATCGCGCGACTGGCCAGCGTCAGTGCCATTCCTGGCGCGCTTGCTCCTCCATCTCCTCGTCTTGTGTCATCCGGGCTTTGTTTATGCCCATGCGACGATGCTCACCTTCCCCGGCCTATCTTGAGCTTGGCATTGTTTCTTCCACATCCACTGTGCTCCACGCCCGTCTCTCCGAACCTCTCGTCTCTTCCTCCGTGCATATAGACGCATCTCTTACCCCCCTTTACCCCAGCTCCAAGGACGCCGTGCAGGTACGTTTATATTAGGTGTGTATCGATTAATGGGATAGCGCAGGCTGCGCGCTGAGGTAGCAGTGTCTACCGTAGGTAAACCATCTTCCATGTTCTGGGGAGGCTAGGCAGTGTGGTGGACTAGCAATAACAGCGTGCCATAATGTAGCGTATACTAGTGTATGGGTTGCGGTCTGATCAACACGCCCGCTAGTGGGACGCTGCTGTTTGACTTTCCGATCGCGGCATAATGCCATGTGACGATGATGATGATGATGATGAGGATGATGATGGTTGCGATGCGGGCGCGTGTGTCGGAGCCAAGGTCGTCTAGAAGAATCCCCAGCCCTTCGTCACGCCCGTAAGAGAGAGAGATGGCGTGTCGTGCTCGGTCCGTGCTAGGAACCAGGGACGATGGGAGAAAGGGTGAGACGGTGATGCGATGTGCCGCTTTCAAGGGCATGCCGTCATATCTCCTTTCTGACGCCGATTCAGCGCACGGGTACGGTACGCCGCCTGTCCCCTCCTTGCCACTGATTCCCGGGCTCCTCACATCGGACGTCAAATGAGACTATGGTGAGGTGCGTCCTTTGCGCTTCTGTCCCCATCGCCGCGACTCTTCTTCCCGGATCAACAATCAAGACTTGGGCCTACGGCATCCTGCATGCCGCCACCCTCCCATGTCTGCCAACCTTCCAAAAGCAGAAAGTGACACTTGAAGTCATCTGGCGCCCGCATGAGGAAGGGGGGAATGCTGCTGGGGACGCCTTGGCGTCGTTGAATGGGGAGAAACGACACGTCAATCAATCTCCATCACCGGCTCGGCTTGAGATGAGATTATCTGTCACTGATCGCAAATCCCGATCGCAAAGCTGTTTTCTGTCCTACAGCCCCCACTCCCCCAGAGACGACAACACAGCACAATCAATTGAGCACTGTGGGGAAGGGGGTTCTGATGGAGCAATCCATTGGGGCCGAAAGCCTGTCGAGTGCAAATCGAAGCAAAGGGAAACCCTGGCGCTGACGCCCAGTAGCGGCAGCTTGATTAAGCCTCAAGAGCTCCAAGATGTTCAAGGCCGTATCATGCATCGCCCCAAACACTCTCAAAGGTTTAGAAGGACCCCCCGAGACCAGAGTCGGGGGTATCCATTGTTTCCGGGCATGGCAGCTGAGTGAAGGAGAGCTAGCTACGGCCGCGATGGCGATTCGTCCGAAGCCATGGTTGGTGGGTATTTTTACCTCAAGTGTCCGAGCTTCGGGGGGTCTGTGTGGCCTGGTCTTCGTCACTACTTGCTTTCTCTCTCTCTCTCTCTCTCTCTCTCTCTCTCTCTCTCTCTCTCTCTCTCTCTCTCTCCCTCTCTCCCTCTCCCTCTCCCTCTCCCCCCCGTCCCAAAGGACCCCGACAGACGGTCCCCCGGAAGCTCTGAAGGTGTTGAAGACAACCTGGGGCTTGATGCCTCGCTTCCAGTCCGCTAATGAATATGCCTCTATCGCTGACGAGGGCATTCCGTGAAAGCGACTGGCGAGGATGCTGGGAAGGTCTGTCCAGACTGTGAGAGCAAGGTCTCACAAGACCCAAGGCCGTCCGTATTCGTAGAATCACGGCCTGAACGGTGTCGGAAGCAGGGGCGCCTGCCTGTGATTACCTGCCGTTCATTGTTTTTTTTTTTTTTTCCCTTTCTACCGGCCTCATCCGTTCCAGAACCCCAATGACGGCATATCTTGTCGGCGAGTTGCCTTCCAAAAGGCTGCGGCTAGTGTCCGACCTCTTGAGCCGAGACGGGTCCGACTATGTGGGGGAATGCGCTATGAAGTCATATTCATCGGATCATCAGGCGAGCGAAATCCCCTCGCATCGTGGGTTCTCTTGCGCGCTGCGTCGTGCGTACCATTTGGTTTAGCAGGTAGCGTGGGCCTCTGCCGCTGCAAGCCGCTGCAAGCCGCCATCCCCTCCACCTCTCAAGCCTTGGCAACCGGCGGCCTGAGTATGGTAATGACCGCGGACCTGTCAGGGAGTCCAGCCACTTATCCGTACATTGGGAAGATTGGCAGAGGCGGGGCGGGGTGGCTGCTTGCGATTTGCGAACAGACGGGTTGCAAGCTTTGGGTGATCGATCGTGGGCATAGCATGTGTGGCTGGAGATGGCCAATCTGGGGGTGTGGCACGTCTTTTGTTTTGTTTTGTCTTAGTGCACACGGCATCGATGGGCGGCAAGTGAGTTCCGGTACCCCGTCTGCCTCGCTCGAGGTAGAGGTATCGGTATGCGAGAGCACCTCCCGTGCAATCCCGATATGGAGGAGAAAGGCATGGGCGGCTTGGTAATGGATATGGACTGCCAACGCTCTGCTGCCAGAGCTTTCGTGGCGCCGAGGGGTGTGGCGATCGGTCGTGTGGCAAAATAAGCACTGTTACCAAGACTGTGCTCTCTTCTCTGCATGGCCTCTCGGAGGAGCCGCGTGTGATTAGCACTCAGGATTCACGAGTGCCATTGGCCGTTTCTTGTGTGAGAGAGTGCGTCGATGTGTTACGCTGCATGTCCCGGGAGGGTTGCAGTCGCAGCCGTTCCGTATGCGAATAGAGTAAAAGGAGCGGCCGCCGATCAATGTGACGAGGGGGGGGGGGGGATGGGCGGGCACCCTAATGACAAAAAAGATGGCACACCATAAGTACCTACTTTCCCACACCACATCCACCCCAAGGCTATTAACAAAAGTGTTGATTTGATAATAACTAGACTACAAAACGCACTTGAGATACATAGCAAGCATGCTTAATAGTAAATGCAATAGCCTGGTATTAGTTTTAACTGATTTATATAGGTATATCTATTCATTCGGTGCTACGTTATTTGTATTGGTATGGGCAGTGGGTGGAAAACGAGAAGAAGCAGAGATGGGGTCTTGACAGGCCGGGGTCTATTTCCTTTGCATTAGGTATCGACCTTGGATCGTCCTGGTGTTTTCTTTGGTTGACGCCAAGGCTGTCTCAGACATTTTGCACATTCCACATACACAAACATGGTCGAACCTGATCTGCTGAGTTGCGGAGCATCAGTGGCTGGGATGGCACCAGGACGGACGTACGAGCCTCAATGCCCAATCCCAGGCAGAGCAGCTGCTTTTTGTTCAACCGAGCTCGCGACACTGCACACGAAGCAACACAGGTCCCGTAGACAAACACCCTACGGCCAAGCACAACGAATAGTGTGCAACGCATGGCTGGGGCCCACGCGTGAGCCTGGGGGGCCCAAAACTGTGCCGTCCACCAACTGTTTGCGACGAGGCGCCTGACGGTTACGTTGATTGGGGGCCGTCGTGGTTACGCAAACGAGCTGAGCAGGGCAGATGCCAAGCGCTGTGGCGGTGTGCGGCGACGACATGGACGAGCTGCGCAAGCTGGGCGAGCATCATCAAGACAAGGCAGGGCAGCGGTGGAAAAGAATGCACACATTGCGAAGAAGCTTGGAAGTTGATCGGTTTTCTTGGGCGCAACGGCACAGGGCAGGACAGAGAACGGGGTGAGCGACCAGGACAGGCCACCCACCCGTGGCCAGGCGACAACGCTGAGGGTTCCTGTACGCCGCAGAGGCGATGGCCAGAAAGGGAGGTTCGGGCGGGTTACCGTAGTCAGGTTGCATGTTTGCCTTCCGCCAAAACCGAATGAGGAAAAAAGGTTGAGGTTGGACAGAAGAAACAGTGTGTAGGCTTCGTTTGCTAGCCGGGATCCTTTGGCGGGTTTGTTTGGTTTTGCTGGGCCTTGATACCTTGGCTCTGTTGAACCTTGCGAAGCAGCTTCCAGGCCGGCTCAAATCCACCCTGGGCGAGGTCGATTGACCACCAACGCTGATGCTGACTGACACTTGGGAAATGAAGCAACGGGATAGGAGCGCGCTGCAGAAGTTGTTGTTGCTGCTGCGGGCGGGGGGTTCTCCCGCTCTTCCATGCAGGCCATGCATGCACGCATGCGACGGTATTACGGTACCTTTGGCGTCCATCCAGCCATATGTCTCGGCCCAGATCGACGCATCTTGTGTGTCGGTTCAATTTCCAGAACATTTCTCCCGCTCAGGCGGCGACAGGGGTGCACGTGTCCGCACCTGGTGTTGTTGGCAAGGACGACATGTTTTTTTGGGGGATTCTTGTCGCCAACATGCTTCCACACCTGTAGGGAGGGCGGGTATGCGCGGCCCAGTCCAACGGCGAGTCCGTAGCCGGGGCTTCCACGGTTGCGAGCGTTATCCGGGTCACCTCTCTGCGTCTTTTCTCCCTTTCTAGCTCGCTTGCTCAGGAATGCGTGGAGGTAAGGGGGGAGCGGTTCACCGGCCAGGGGTTTGTTCATATCCTCGACATTCCACAGAGCAGTGACGTTGTTCTGTCCATCGTTTCGGTGGCTGCTCCCAAGCTTTTCCGCCCCGGAACGATCAGCCAACGCTGTTTAGAGGGGCCGAGCATGTATCTTGGCACAGAGGCCGAGAGGTCCCACTGAGGGGACTTGGCCAGAAGTGCAGAATCCATCATGGAAAATGGAATGGGGAGACCGAGAGGTCCAGGCCGTGACGATTAGAGGGGCGGACCAAGGATGCTGGATCGAATGGTTTTGGGGTCGCGCAGCCCTTCGTAAGAAAAGTCAGCCTTAACCAAAGTTTAAAAAAAAAAAAAAAAACCACCCCCATTTCTCAAGGCGGCGCGCATAAAGATGCGTGGACCCGAGGCTATGTCATCGTTGACTAAAAAGGCATACGCGAAGAAAGTTCTTTTGGCACATTCCGTGCGTGCTGACATCGCCGTTTCCTCCTGTTCCTCCCTGCGTGTGTCTCATGCTCGGTATTAGGTTCGGTGATGCAGGAAGCGCCTAGGATGGGCAGTCTACAGATATAGATGATACCTAGGTACCAGTACATCCATGTGCCTTATGTAAGCTTTTTTTTCTGGCACGAACAACCATCGCCTTTCCAGTCTTGGTCACATCATTTTTTTGTCTTGGTTCTTTTTTTCCCTTTTTTCTTTCTGGTTTTTGTGTTTCCATTCTCTCCCGCTGCGAACTGAAGGATGCTGACAAAACTACATGTTACTGACAATCCGAAAAAAATAGATTTGGCCCTTTGCCCATATTGTCGCATCGCCTTACTCAGAGCCAATGTGGCGCCGGCAAAGCAGGGTTTGCTGGCTGCGTTGGAAGCCCTGCTGGTACACTGTGGCAAGGCTGCTTGCTTCTAGAACTTTTCTTGTTTCGGACTAGCGCTCATCGGGATATCTTGGATCATCTTGAAGCGATGCTAGGCAACCCTAAACCATGCCATCCTAGCAAAACCTCTGTGCCTTGGCAATAATGCAATGCTGCCCTGATGGACCTTACAATGTTCATGGAAGCCCTGTATACGGCGGCCTCCGGTGGAACGTATCAGTGACGCGGCTGGGCCCGGCCAACGACATCCGACAAGGGGGACTTGTTCGCTGGAAACTGGGAGACCGTGGGTACCAGAACGCAATGCGGCTGGTCACGCGCGTATCCGTGGCTTGGAAGTTCGCCATCGCCGGCTGGACCATGAAGCCCCCATGCGCCTTGACTGTGGTGTTTTGAAGACGCGGAAGCACGCATAGTACACCACGCGTATGGTAGATGCCGTATGTTGCCGGCCTCGCTTGACCCAAGCACCTACCTTGCTTGTACGGATAGTGTAAACCAAGTGCACCTTTCGGCAAAGCGGTGCCGGGCCCGCCAGTGCGCACCAGCTGACTGACACCCGGACGACCCAGATGACTTCCGTGGAGCCGACGGCGTCGCCGGGAGCCCAAATCCTCTTGTCCATCCAAATCTCCATCCCATACACTCCCGAGACGCCGATGTCCATCCACTCTCGTATCCTCAGCTGTTTGTCCAGCGCAGTGCCTTCGGGACTCACGACGCTACACTCTTCATCTCGCGCCATCGCGAGTCAACACACGCGCGACGGCGACAGCACGCCTGGGCGAGCTTGGCCGACCGGCTCAACAAAACAGTTACCGCCGCCGCGCCACCCGGGAACCCAACGGCGAATACGATCAACCTCCGTTGCAGGGACCGCCCGACTGCGTTGTGACGCCATCGTGTTGCGCCCAGGCTTTGACGACTCGCTTGATGGACAGGCTTCAAAGTTTATCATCATGCCATCGGGCTGGGCGGAGAGATCTATTCGATGCTATTCAAGAACCTGCTTGGCACTGCGCGCCACTGACTCTTAACCAACTCCTCGGCACTGACGGCAGTATTTCCGGAACCCTCGCGCCTCCGATGAGTCTGCTAGTCTTCGCATCCGGTGCGCGCGCACCACCCGGATGGCCGGCAAGGCAGCGGTCGAGTGCAGCCCATCCCCGGCGACGTCGCCGGCACTCAGAACGCGATGCCACAGCGTCATGTCCGGCCCTCGCTGGCCGCAGTGGCTGTACCCTGTTCCGACGTTTTTGCGGCAACCCGCCGACTATCGCCTTTGCTGCCTCTTTCCATGCTCTCGCCTACCCCCCCAACGTGCTTGGAGTCCGAGGCTCTCGGGTTGCTTGAAGCACTGGTGCCAAGACACACCGGACAAAAGCCTGACCCTTGATTATCGACCTGTCCGCGTCCGACGTGGGAGTCGCTCTACTCCAGCAATGTCTGTCGTTCTCTCTCTCTCTCTTTTCAGATGTAGCGCTGCTGGTCATCTTGCAGTTCTCCCCGCGTCTCTCCAATGTGGACTGATGGAGGTATGTGTTGCTGCGCAAGGCCGCAATATGGCAGGGCTCGGCGCATGTTCCCATTCGCCTGGTGTCAACCAATGGGTTTGACAGCTTGGTGCCTGCCCGTCGTGCGGAGTGTCCGCTGCCATGTTTTGCAAAGGAATAATCCCCACCATGCCTGTGCCGTGCTCCGTCCCCAGCGAATGCGAACCCTTTTCCAAGCAAATCTGCGACTTACCATATCGGGACTGCTAATTCCTCCGTAATGCAGCTACCTGAGTCGCCGAACCTTGGAAGGGTGCCCTCGAATGACCATTGGGGGGTTTCGCACCTCAACCGCCCCCATGCCCACCTCCCGCCTGTCCCTTGGCGCCCATCTCACCAGTATCAGACCGACGGGACAGTCTGAACCCCTGGGCCGATCGTGGATCCCCCAAGCTTTGATGGCCTCCTGTCAAAAAGAAGATGTCAACCAGCCTCGTTTTGCCTCTTCAGGGTTGCACGTGGAATAGTCGAACTAGGAGAGAGGCATGGAACGCTGTAATCCCTAGTGCCGCGCTTCTTCTTTTTCTCTCTCTCTTTTTTTATTTTATTTTTATTTATTGTTATTATCATTTCACTTTCGGAACAGAACCAAGTAAGCACCCCCCGGCCCCCGCCACTTCTTCATTAGCCTCTCCGGCCGGGCCCTTGAGATTAGAAATAGGATGTGTATTCGAGAGTCTCGTGAGACTAGGAAGTGGAGATGGGGATGAGAAGGGGAAGCCCCCCCAAGTAAGACCTTGTCGTGCGGGCAGGAGGAGGGGCGTTGCGCACTCGTCTAGATGCTGGGCGTTCCGCCTGAAACCGAGCATTGCCTGCCGCCGGAATCTCGACAGAAGAAATCCCGAGCAATAAAGGCGTGGCTATTCAGTGGGCGAACCCGCACCGTCTCTTCCCCAGTGGACCAACGATATCGGTCCAAGTAGGCTGTGCCTCTTAGTGGCAATCGTGTACGGAGACCGACCGCCTCCCCAAGATTTGCTACCCGGTTGGGACCGGATCCTACATCACACCGGACACCAGATCCTTGGATCAAGCGACTCAAGGAGGGGGGACGAGCCGGCCTCCACCTTACCATTCACTTTGACAAGGCACATTTCTACGTATCCATTTCCTGGCCTCGTGCGGGGAGCTGAGACGGCAGACTCGTTCAATGCAGACCCCGCTAGGCTGAGCTGGATTAGCAAGTCCGGGTCGGAAAATGGCCACTCGGCAAAGCCCAGCTGGCACGATAGACACGGATGACTTTGTCACTCGGCGGGCGCATATGTGGGACTCGTGAATACTAACAAAATGCCCTTTTCCGGGTCCTTTCAGCATATTATGAGTCTTGCCTCTCGTCAGAGGCAAGGAGACCTGCGTGGCTCTCATCAAATGGTCTTTCTGAGACGAATGCCAAGGAGTCGCAGTAGAACGAGATAGAAACAAACACTCATACAAACATATCAGCAAGAAAACTACTATGTGGTATCCCAGAACTCCCAAACGCTTTTTGTGGACGCCCAGCTGGTTGCTCGTAACTCTCTCCCCCATTCAGGGAGAAAACGATGATGGTAATGGTCAAGTAAGCAAATGGGGCAGGCAGGCCCTAGCTCTGGTGACCTTTTCTCCTTCCGTGACAATCCTGTTCGGCCCTGTTCAACCCTGACAGGCGGTTGGTTCTTTGATCGTATATAAAGCCCGGCCAAGGCACTCCGAGCTCTGCCGCATTGCCCTTTCGCGTAAGGAGCCCAGGGGCGGGAACAGTCGGTACTTCACAGGCCACTGAGATCGAATTCTCCGCTGAAGCCCTTGTTCAGCAGCATGCCCGCAATTCTAAGACGCTGCAGTGGCAGGTCCTCGCCAGAGTAAGTGTCGATGGCGTTGAGACCGAGGGCCAGACACATTCCATTCGTGATGGTGAAAACACCGCAGTCGTAACCGTTTCTCTGCAGCGGGGCTTCGTGACAGACCGTCCTCCACTCGCTCGCCTTGTAATCGCTGCCCAAGAAAGCCTCGATCCAGGCCAGGGCTCTGTTGGTATGGACGGCCGACCCTCTTGGGTTGAAGGAGTCCATGTGCGATACGGTTCGCTTCTGCGGCCGGACAACGAGCAAGGTCCAATGGTTGTTTCTGCAGATGGGCATGAGGATCGTCTCCAGCTTGAGGAAGTTGGCCTTGGTCACACCATACCGGCGAAGTGCTCGTTCGGTATTTTGCACGCCGTTGTCTTCCAGTCTCTTGTAGAAGAAGGATCCCATGACCAGGCAGACCCGGTTTGGCGATTTGACGTCCGTGGCGCCTGCGGCTGCGTTCACGTAACGGTCGAGCCACTGGAGCGAACCATTAACGATCTCGTCATTGAGCCACTCAGTCTCCGGGACCACCTTGGCAAAGTCGTGTTTCCTGAGTTCGACGCTTTCGGCCGTGGTGGCAAGCGTCTTGGAAGGGTGGGCTTGTAACGAAGCCGTCACCTTCTGGGACCAGTCCGTCGGTAGCGAGGTGATCATACGCCTTCGAGGAACGCGGAGCCCGTCGGTCTTGCGCAGCTTCTCCTCCTCGGCCTCCTTGGCCTTTCTTTCCTCCTCTTCTCTCCGGCGTGCCTCGTCCACGTCGAGCAGCAGCTGAAGAGCGAGTGAGAGGTCCTCAAGCTCCTCTTCTTTATCGTCAGAGATATTCAGACCTGAGAGGGTTGGAGGGCTTGGGGGGCAGGACGACGCGTCCCGCGGCTCATCCTTGACGAAGAAACCCTTGGCTTCGAGGCCTCTCAGGGATTTGTTAAGATGCTGCACGAGGCGGGGCTGACATCTCGACGCAATAGACTCCCCGTCACTGTCCTCCGATGTGTTGTCCGTGTCCTGCCCGGTGCCCGCAAGGTACCCTGGCCTCCCAGGGCTACGGCTCTCGGGTGAGCCATCGGTTTGCGCGCCACTCAGGGAGCTGTCCTCCGTGGCCTGCTGAAGCGGCGAACCAATGACGGTCGGCGAGCCGAACAGTTTGCTCAAGAAGCCGGCCGGTTTCGATGACGAGGGAGTCGACAGCTTCGCCGATGGCGAAAACTGAACCTTCTTCAAGCCCCGCGCCTTCTGGAGGCGCTTCAACACAACGGGAGACTGGTTATCCTTCTTGAAGATGGATCTGGGGCTCGGTCTGGGGAGCAGGTCCCCAGGATCCGTATCAGTGAGCCCATCCTTGAAGGCAGCTCGTCGCTTGGTTGCGATCTCTGCCAGATGCTCCCGAACAAAGGTATACGCGTCAGTGGTTCTGGCGGGTGGCAGGTAGTTGGGTTTTGTGACTTGACGATAATCGGGAGCGTCTCTTGCGGGCTTGGCCTCTTCGACCACGGACTCGTTCTTCACCTGTGCGTCGGGAAAACTGCCGGGCATTTCAGCGGTCGGCTTGGAGACGGACTCATCAGGAGTCTCCACGCCGAAGCTGTCGCTTCCCCGGAAGAACTTGATAACCTTGCCGACCAGCCCGGCCCGCTGCACAAGGTTGGGCATCGGCCTCCGGTTAGCAAGAGCGTCCAGGTCCGCACCAATACCCCTGAGAACCCGCTGAGTGACGCCGGACTCGGCCAGGACAGGGGAGCACTCGTCAGGGAAGTCATCCACAAATTTCTGGGCCACCGTGATGGCCAGAAACTCGTCCGGGTTCACGTCGTAGTCCATGATCGACTGGGGGGATTTGAATGTGTCCTTCAGCTTCGCCAAGAATGTGTGAGAATAAACGGTCTCCAGGACGAACGCCGTCTGCTGGAAAACGGTGACGTAGGCTCCGAGGGTATGGATACGCTGCGAGCGGGCATCCTCGTCCCCCCGAGAGGCAGGAGAGTTGTCCCTGGAACCCAACATGCCCTTTTCAATCCGTCGACTGATGCTTCGAAGTGCTCGGACAAGCGGGGCTACCTGATGCCAATGAGCGACTCTTGTGGACTCGTCTACCCACACGAGGTTGGGGTTGGGTGTGGCTGAGTGAACAACCTGGGACTGCTGTGCAGCCATGGTTTCATCGACGAATTCGTCGGCGATTTCCAGTTTGATGCGCTTCATGCCAATATTGCCGGTTTGCTGGTCGCGAGAGTGTCGCTCAACGACGTTGTAGTTGCGCGGGTACACTAGGACGATGGTCAGAGTTGGCCGGTGCAGCTGCCACGCGAAAAAAACTCACCATAGCCAGCAATGCTACTGGAGACCTTGCTGACAGCGCCTCGAACTGAGGTCATGATATCAATGAGCCAAGCAGCGTGGCCCTGGGATACCTGTTGCCACGCATCAGCATGATTTCCGGGGGAGTCGAGTTAATAACTCACAATTCCCTCGTCTGAAGACAAACCTGCGGCGGCACTCGGAGTGGTTTTGAGAGGCTCCTGCTCGGGCTGGCTCTGTACGGCCGCATTCGCCACGGCTAGGTCCAGCTCTGAGTCTTCGGTTCGCCGATTGCGGGGTGCGTTGCTGCCGGGTGAGCAGTTCTGCTCGATGCCGGCAGAAGACGACGTCTCCCGTTCCGCACGCTGGGCAGTAATTGTTTCGAATTCCAGCCCTCGAACAATGAGCCCCCTAGTACTCAATCTATCGGTCACCCGGACGAGTGTCGGCTGGCCCGGGGGAGGGGTTGAGGGTTGACAACCGTATACTGGCCAGGAGGAAACGGGTAGGCTCCGGGCGGCGCCGTAAGGGACGAGGCTAGCAAACGCCCGGTTTCGCCGATGTGGGAATCTTCAGGTGTACGGGGGCCGGCGGTGGGGTTGGCAGGCGCGCCTTGGACACCGGGTATCGTATTTCCCGCTTCCCCGACTGAAGCCTTGGTGCTCGTTGCGCCAGTTGAACCAAACAGATCCCTCCGCGCCTCCTTCGACCGAGATCCGGAACTCTGCAACTCGCGAAACCGCTTTCTCGTTATGGTGATGTAATTCTCGTTGGACACGTCGATCAAGGCGGGCAGATGTCGGGAGGACTTGGCGGCACCGGCAGGCTTTGTTGCATGTAGGTAGGCTCGAGGCAGTCGCAAGTCTGAGGTATCCGGCTTGCCGAGACCTTGGTAATGCGGGGTCACGTATGCTAATGATGTACGAGGCCGAGGCTTGACCGACGAAGGAGTCTTGGTGCGATGACTTGCTCGCCTTGTTGCCGGGGATAAGACCGTAATCGACTCTCGTACGCTCGGGGGCTGGTCTGGCCCTATCCAGACAGGGCTCGAATATGCGCCGTCCTAGTCGCTCGGCCAAGGCGCGGGCGTTTTCCACAATCCTTCTCCGCGTAGGGCGGATCTTCCGTTGGAGTTGGTGATTGTGGCGATCAATCCGGGACTGCTTCTCCTTCGATATAGGCTGCGGTTTGGGTTTGTACTCAAAGTTCTGTCCAGCCCAGGGTTGGTCGAACTGTGAATGACGATGACGACTGAGGTGGCAAGTTATTTGGCGGGGAGCAACAATTCGGGCGAGGGGGTCGCGAGAATCGACGCCCAGGTTGATGAGGTTGGAACTGATCTGGTGGGGTTCGTGACCGTATCCGAATGTCGTCGGTCTCGCCGGCGCGGGGGAGCTAGGTCTTGGTTTGCCGCTTGGGACGGTCTCCTCAAAGGAACCGAAGGAGCCGGTCTTCTCCTTGGGGCGGAAATGAGGTTAGCTGTGTTGCCGATGCTCTATCGACATGATCGTTAGCGAAAAAGGTGCGATGCTCAAGAGTTGAACAGGGAGCTTTCTAAAACAAGTCATGAGCGCAAAGGGAAACAGGCATGAAATGCATAAATGGGCGAAAACAAAGACGCCGGGGATTTTACAGTGCTCCTGGTTGCGCGGTCCAAAACTGTGGGGAAGGCGCGTCGCTGGATTGAGTCGTGGTTGTTGTCGTGATACGGTGGCCGTGATATGAAGTCGAGGCGAGTTGTATTATGCAAGGACCAGTCGCAAGACGAGGCGCGCGTCGGTCTGGTGGCCTTTGAAAAAGAAGACGCAGACGCTGCTAGACGGCAATGGATGCGAAGAGATAAAAAGCAATCGAATAGGGAGGCGCATCAAAGAATCGCACTGCAGAGGGAAGGATGGCGCGGTGGAAAGTTGCGAAATCCCCATCGGGGGGGTAGGTGCGATGGATAGGTAGGTAGTATGGGGTTTAGGAAAGAACGCCTGTAGTTTTTTGACAGCTCCAGAGGAAACAACCAAAGGAAATGAATGGGCTAATGGGAGAAGGTACCAAGTACCCTCCCACATCTTTCACTCAGGTACAGGGCACTGTGCAGGGGTCGCCCCACCGCCATGCATCCCTGAATATCTAGGTAGGTAGCAACCGGGAACGAAACCGTTTTCAGGAATAACAACTTGACCGGATTCTACACCTCAGAACCAAGCAATGGCGTCCAGTCCAGCATTTCAGCGCATTGCCACCATGACCAAGAACGCGGACAGTCACTCAACAGTCCTTGGTTTTGATAGACGATTCGGGTTATATTTTGGGTATTGCTATAAATGCAGTTGTACGGTTAGGGAATTGCACATATCTAGTCCGGTATCTAGGCCATGTCTTGCTCTGGGATACCGTTGAGTACCAAACCGGTTCGGTATACATCAAGGTAGTTCTATGGACACAGCATGCTTCCTTCTTCATAGGCGTTACAGTTGCGATAGCGTTGCTCCGAGTTTCTTGGTGCAGAACGCGCCAAAATAT